ATCACTTGACCTTGAATGATCTCTATGACGTGCATCAGTCTGCATATCGCCCGATCATTCCACAGAGACCGTACTTCTGCATGTGATGGAGAGACTTCTTGCTGCAGCTGATGCGGGCTATGTTACAGTTCTAACGCTGCTTGATTTATCAGCGGCTTTTGATACCATTGACCATGTTCAACTAACTGAGTGTCTGAAAACAGAATTTGGTATTCATGGCACAGCTCTTGGATGGTTTGTCTCATACCTCAATAATAGGACACAATCTGTGGTCATTCAAGACGTGAAATCGTGTACGCATCAGCTTACATGCGGAGTGCCACAAGGTTCCGTTCTTGGGCCCATTCTCTTTTCACTCTATATGAAGAATCTCGGCAATATCATTCGGCATCATGTTGTGATGTACGAGTCATATGCTGATGACACCCAGCTGTTGCGTTCCACTAAACCGGACTCACTTCCAGCCGATATGTCTATAATCGAAGACTGTATCCTTGACTCCAAAGCATGGATGATACAAAGGAAGCTGAGATTAAATGACAGTAAGACCGAGGTTTTGCTGTGTGGATCGCCCAGTAGCACTGCTAAGGTGGATGTGTCTTCGTTGGTAGTGGGTAATGAGAAAGTTCCTTTCAGTGATTCCGTGAAAGACCTTGGTGTTTTCTAGACTCAAATTTATCTATGGAACCACACGTAAACTCTGTTTTGTAAGTCATGCTATTTTCATCTCAGAAATATTGCTTCCATTCGTGATATTCTGACATTTGATGCAGCTCACACCACCTAGTTCGTTCACTTGTTCTCTCACGTTTGGATTATTGCTGCAGTCTTCTTGTAAATATCCGCCAAGATCTATTGTCCAAGCTCCAGAGGATTCAGAACTCTGCGGCGCGATTGATTTGCCGAGTCAACAAGCGCAGTCACATTACACCATTGCTGATACGCTTACATTGGCTGCCCACGAAACAGAGAATAGAATATAAAATCCTCACACTCGCTTTCAAGTGCCTCCATGACAAAGCTCCAATCTATCTGAAAGATCTCCTCAGTGAATATGTCCCACCACGGCTTTTAAGATCAAGTTCTAATTGTCAGTTGAATGTCCCCAAGGTCAGATTAAAGTCATATGGACATAGACAGTTCTCTTTACACAGCTCCCCTTTTCTGGAACTCACTGCCTCTTCACATCCGACAAGTTGCGTCCGTGGAATCTTTCCAGTCCCAACTGAAAACTTTCCTTTTAAACAAGCTTATGAACTTTAATCCTTTCTTCAGATCACTCTATCTTTTAGCGCCTAGAGAAATTGCCTTGCAGTTTGATTTGTGCGCGCCATACAAGAACACTTATTATTATTATTATTATTTATGATACGTGTATACCTTGTCTATATTTGACTTAATGCCTTATGATACGTGTACACCTTGTCTATATTTGACTTAATGCCTTATGATACGTGTACACCTTGTCTATATTTGACTTAATGCCTTATGATAATGTGTACACCTTGTCTATATTTGACTTAATGCCTTATGATACGTGTACACCTTGTCTATATTTGACTTAATGCCTTATGATACGTGTACACCTTGTCTATATTTGACTTAATGCCTTATGATACGTGTACACCTTGTCTATATTTGACTTAATGCCTTATGATAATGCGGTACACCTTTGTCTATATTTGACTTAATGCCTTATGATACGTGTACACCTTGTCTATATTTGACTTGCCTTATGATACATGTACACCTTGTCTATATTTGACTTAATGCCTTATGATACGTGTATACCTTGTCCATATTTGACTTAATGCCTTATGATACATGTACACCTCGTTTATATTTGACTTAATGCCTTATGATACGTGTACACCTTGTCTATATTTGACTTAATGCCTTATGATACATGTACACCTTCGTCTATATTTGACTTAATGCCTTATGATACGTGTACACCTCGTCTATATTTGACTTAATGCCTTATGATACGTGTACACCTTCGTCTATATTTGACTTAATGCCTTATGATACATGTACACCTTGTCTATATTTGACTTAATGCCTTATGATACGTGTACACCTTGTCTATATTTGACTTAATGCCTTATGATACGTGTACACCTTGTCTATATTTGACTTAATGCCTTATGATACGTGTACACCTTGTCTATATTTGACTTAATGCCGTATGATACGTGTACCTTGTCTATATTTGACTTAATGCCGTATGATACGTGTACACCTTGTCTATATTTGACTTAATGCCTTATGATACGTGTACACCTTGTCCATATTTGACTTAATGCCTTATGATACGTGTACACCTTGTCTATATTTGACTTAATGCCTTATGATACGGTACACCTTGTCCATATTTGACTTAATGCCTTATGATACGCGGTACACCTTGTCTATATTTGACTTAATGCCTTATGATACGCGGTACACCTTGTCTATATTTGACTTAATGCCTTATGATACGTGTACACCTTGTCTATATTTGACTTAATGCCTTATGATACGTGTACACCTTGTCTATATTTGACTCAAAGCCTTATGATACACACCCTGTTGAAACATGTTTAAACCTTCAGCAAGGTTTTTTCCTCATCATGATTTTAAACATGTTTAAATTTTGGGAATGTTGTGTTTATTTTGTGTGTAGGGTTGGAGATGACGGCTCATTTTAAGTCTTTTAAACCCTAAACGTGATTAGACTGTACACATCAAAAGTGTATTCCGTTTTGTATTAAACACATTTCCAAACATGTTTACATATAAACTGTGTGACTAGGTGTAGTTGTGGGTCATCTGGCCACTGGTACCCACTGGACGCTGCCCCACCTGGCGATGGTTTACATTGACTATGTAATGTAGCATCATATATAGCCCAGACGACAGGGCAGTCCCATTATTCACAACCAACTCATGGATTATCCTCGAAGAAAAACCAAGGATTATTCGCGACTTTACGATAACGCCTGGCCCTAATATGGCCGATTCCAGTAGAATCCTGACCGCTTCTGTTTGTGTCCGTTGTCGTTGTGTGCTTATCAATAACTAAATCAATCAGATTTTCCCAGTTGTCGAACTGTGAGAACAGTTTACTGAAACTTGATATAAGCTTAATGACGAGTACTTGTATTACATGTGAGGTTCGCCTTTGAGCCTTAGCACGTGCATATCTAAGATTAATGTATGGGGCGACCGAAGGGCCAAATCAATCATACACACATAATTATGAAATGAATATAAATGTCTATATGGGGGTTAACTCACAGTGTTTTTCCATGAGTATTTACACGCGAGCCCGACCATGACGAGTACAGTTTGGCGGGATCAATGATGTTGGGGTGCCCCTCACGGACTGTGAAGTTGACCTTGTGACGATCACGGAAAATCTGACTGGGCAACAGTGCATCACTGACAGGGTTGTTGTACCACATTTTGATGACCATCCTCTGAACCCAGGGTCAGTTCTCAAGGATCGACAATGCTAGGCAACACCCTCCACGTGCCGTTGGTAATATCTTCACGCCAAGAAGCGTAGCAACTCTGTCATAACCTGCCAGATCTCGATCCCATAGAGCATGTTTAGGGCATTAGGGGGCCGCAGAATACCCCATAATCGAAAGTACATTGTAACAAATCCTCCATCAAGAATTAACCGCAGTACCTCAAAACAGATTCAACGCCTGATGCAGTCGGCGAGGAGGAGGGTCAGGGATGTTGACCTTGTCTCTGGGACAACTGTGTGGCTGCTGTGTCTGGGACAACTGTGTGGCTGCTGTGTCTGGGACAACTGTGTGGCTGGTTTGTCTGGGACAACTGTGTGGGCTGGTGTGTCACGGACAACTGTGTGGCTGTGGGTTTGAATCCTTGATGGGACTCAACACAACGAAATTACTAGAATCTGTACTTTTACTGAGAGAATGTAATTCCAAATATAACATATTTTCATATCTTGGTCAGGATCCATCCAAGTCCTATTTACACATCAGGTGTGTGTTGGGTGTGTAGGGTGTGTGTGTCCGTGAAGTCCAAGAACCATTTACACATCTTCATTCAGTCATATCTCATGGATCTTCACTGAAGATCCATATGTGTCACATCAACACAAATTTGTAAAGGATCCATCTTAGTCCAATTTACATATCCTCTTTCTGGATCCACGCCATTACCCTTTTTGGGAATCTTTCTAAGTCACATCTACACATCTTCGCTCATGATGGACCTCTGACAAGTCTATATATCTTTGTTCAGGATCCTGCTCAGGCACACCTACATATCTTTGAGGAGCATCCATCTCGGTCACATCTACACATCTTCATTCAGGATCCATCTCAGGCACACCTACATATCTTTGAGGAGCATCCATCTCGGGTCACATCTACACATCTTCATTCAGGATCCATCTCAGGCACACCTACATATCTTTGAGGAGCATCCATCTCGGGTCACATCTACACACATCTTCATTCAGGATCCATCTCAGGCACACCTACATATCTTTGAGGAGCATCCATCTCGGTCGCATCTACACATCTCCGTTGAGGACCCAAATCAGGCACACCTACATATCTTTGAGGAGCATCCATCTCGGTCGATCTACATCTTCATTCAGGACCCATCTCAGGCACACCTACATATCTTTGTGGAGCATCCATCTCGTCGCATCTACACATCTCCGTTGAGGACCCAAATCAGGCACACCTACATATCTTTGAGGAGCATCCATCTCGGTCGCATCTACACATCTCCGTTGAGGACCCAAATCAGGCACACCTACATATCATTGAGGAGGATCCATCTCGGGTCACATCTACACATCTTTGTTGAGGATCTACATATTGTCATTCAGGATCCATCTTAGTCATATCTACATATTCCACTGTCACACTGACATGTCCTGGTCAGTGGTCTAGACTGCCACATGCTACGTGGTCCTTGTCCTCACCAGATGTTGTCACCATGTGTATCAACACCTCGATTGACTTCCTCGAACTCCCATTTTCTTCACCATTGTTGAGAAAATCTCTGGAGTGTCAGCTAAAGTGTTATCCTTGTCATATTCAGCCACTGCAGCAGAAAAGTGTGGAACAAGTACAAAACACATTTCAACACAATTTGATGTTCCACCTCACAAGCGTGTCAGCTTGGGCCACACTGATAACTTCCCTAGGCACCAAACTGTCAGTGTGAGGTGTCCGCGAGAGTCAGTCAGCTGTCAGAATAGAGTCAGTCAACTATTTAGGGCATCAGTGTGAGGTGTCCGCAGAGAGTCAGTCAGCTGTCAGAATAGAGTCAGTCAACTATTTAGGGCATCAGTGTTAGGTGTCAGCTTAGAGTCAGTCATTCAGTATAGGCATCAGTGTGAGGTGTCAGCATAGAGCCAGTCAGTCATTATGGGCATCAGTGTGAGGTGTCAGCATAGAGTCAGTCATTGAGTATAGGCATCAGTTTTAGGTGTCAGCATAGAGTCAGTCATTCAGTATAGGCATCAGTGTTAGGTGTCAGCATAGAGTCAGTCATTGAGTATAGGCATCAGTGTTGGGTGTCAGCACAGAGTCAGCCATTGAGGGCATCAGTGTGAGGTGTCAGCATAGAGTCAGTCATTGAGTATAGGCATCAGTGTTGGGTGTCAGCATAGAGTCAGTCATTATGGGCATCAGTGTGAGGTGTCAGCATAGAGTCAGTCATTGAGTATAGGCATCAGTGTTGGGTGTCAGCATAGAGTCAGTCATTATGGGCATCAGTGTGAGGTGTCAGCATAGAGTCAGTCATTGAGTATAGGCATCAGTGTTAGGTGTCAGCATAGAGTCAGTCATTATGGGCATCAGTGTGAGGTGTCAGCATAGAGTCAGTCATTGAGTATAGGCATCAGTGTGAGGTGTCAGCATAGAGTCAGTCATTATGGGCATCAGTGTGAGGTGTCAGCATAGAGTCAGTCATTCAGTATAGGCATCAGTGTTGGGTGTCAGCATAGAGTCAGTCAGTCATTATGGGCATCAGTGTGAAGTGTCAGCATAGAGTCAGTCATTGAGTATAGGCATCAGTGTTAGGTGTCAGCATAGAGTCAGTCAATCAGTATAGGCATCAGTGCGAGGTGTCAGTATAGAGCCAGTCATTCAGTATAGGCATCAGTGTTGGGTGTCAGCATAGAGTCAGTCATTATGGGCATCAGTGTGAGGTGTCAGCATAGTCAGTCATTGAGTATAGGCATCAGTGTTGGGTGTCAGCATAGAGTCAGTCATTATGGGCATCAGTGTGAGGTGTCAGCATAGAGTCAGTCATTGAGTATAGGCATCAGTGTTGGAGTGTCAGCATAAAGCCAGTCATTATGGGCATCAGTGTGAGGTGTCAGCATAGAGTCAGTCATTCAGTATAGGCATCAGTGTTAGGTATCAGCATAGAGTCAGTCATTATGGGCATCAGTGTGAGGTGTCAGCATAGAGTCAGTCATTGAGTATAGGCATCAGTGTTGGGTGTCAGCATAGAGTCAGTCATTGAGTATAGGCATCAGTGTTGGGTGTCAGCATAGAGTCAGTCATTATAGGCATCAGTGTTAGGTGTCAGCATAGAGCCAGTCAGTCATTATGGGCATCAGTGTGAGGTGTCAGCATAGAGTCAGTCATTATGGGCATCAGTGTGAGGTGTCAGCATAGAGTCAGTCATTGAGTATAGGCATCAGTGTTGGGTGTCAGCATAGAGCCAGTCAGTCATTATGGGCATCAGTCTGAGGTGTCAGCATAGAGCCAGTCATTGAGTATAGGCATCAGTGTTGGGTGTCAGCATAGAGTCAGTCATTACGATCATCAGTTGAGATGTCAGCAAAGAGTCAGCCATTGAGGGCATCAGTGTGGGGTGTCAGCTTAGAGTCAGTCATTGAGTATAGGCATCAGTGTGAGGTGTCAGCATAGAGTCAGTCATTGAGTATAGGCATCAGTGTTGGGTGTCAGCATAGAGTCAGTCATTACGATCATCAGTTGAGGTGTCAGCATAGAGTCAGCCATTGAGGGCATCAGTGAGGGGTGTCAGCTTAGAGTCAGTCATTCAGTATAGGCATCAGTGTTAGGTGTCAGCATAGAGTCAGTCATTGAGTATAGGCATCAGTGTTGGGTGTCAGCATAGAGTCAGTCATTACGATCATCAGTTGAGGTGTCAGCATAGAGTCAGCCATTGAGGGCATCAGTGTGGGGTGTCAGCTTAGAGTCAGTCATTCAGTATAGGCATCAGTGCTAGGTGTCAGCATAGAGTCAGTCATTGAGTATAGGCATCAGTGAGGTGTCAGCATAGAGTCTGTCATTACGATCATCGTGTGTGAGGTGTCAGCTTAGAGTCCGCCATCATTCAGTATAGGCATCAGTGTGAGGTGTCAGCTTAGAGTCCGGCCATTCAGTATAGGCATCAGTTTTAGGTGTCAGCATAGAGTCAGTCATTATGATCATCAGTTGAAGTGTCATGGTAGAGTCAGTCATTCATTATGGGCATCAGTTGAGGTGTCTGCATAGAGTCAGTCATTATGATCATCAGTTAAAGTGTCAGCATAGAGTCAGTCAGCTATTGAGGGCATCAGTTGAGGTGTCAGCATAGAGTCAGTCAGCTATTGAGGGCATCAGTTGAGGTGTCAGCATAGAGTCAGTCAGCTATTGAGGGCATCAGTTGAGGTGTCAGCATAGAGTCAGACATTATGGGCATCAGTTGAGGTGTCAGCATAGAGTCAGTCAATTTTTGAGGGCATCAGATGAGGTGTCCGCATAGAGACAGTCAGCTATTGAGGGCATCAGTTGAGGTGTCAGCGTGAGTCAGTCAGGTATTTAGGGCATCAGTGTTAGGTGTCACCATAGAGTCAGTCAGCTATTGAGGGCATCAGATGAGGTGTCAGCATAGAGTCAGTCAGTTATTGAGGGCATGAGATGAGGTATCAGCTTAGAGTCAGTCAGTTATTGAGGGCATCAGTGTTAGGTGTCAGCATAGAGTCAGTCAGTTATTGAGGGCATCAGATGAGATGTCAGCTTAGAGTCAGTCAGGTATTTAGAGCATCAGTGTGAGGGTGTCAGCATAGACTCAGTCAGCTATTGAGGGCATTAGATGAGGTGTCAGCATAGAGTCAGTCAGTTATTGAGGGCATTAGATGAGGTGTCAGCATAGAGTCAGTCAGTTATTGAGGGCATTAGATGAGGTGTCAGCATAGAGTCAGTCAGTTATTGAGGGCATCAGATGAGGTGTCAGCCAGGTATTTAGAGCATCAGTGTGAGGTGTCAGCATAGAGTCAGTCAGCTATTGAGGGCATCAGTTGAGATGTCAGCATAGAGTCAGTCAGCTATTGAGGGCATCAGTTGAGGTGTCAGCATAGAGTCAGTCAGCTATTGAGGGCATCAGTTGAGATGTCAGCTTAGAGTCAGTTATTCTTCTCATGTATGTAAGTGTGGTTATCAACAAAGCAACCATCTCATATAAAACACAAGTTCGAAAGAACTAATGCAACAGTGCTATATAAAACAAACAACAAATTGAATTCAAAGAATGTGTCTTACTTTTCTGTGGCACTTTTACTGCAAGGGTAAGATGTCTATCGATGCGGTACAGAGGACTGGCCACAAACCCCCACTCCAAAACACAGCTGGGTCTACAACACAAGGAACATTTTATCATTCTGAGTGGATACACCAAACTGCTTACCTCTGTTGACCCTGACTGATAATGTTTTATGTCACCTGTTGTGGTGCTGACTGATCAGTGATATTGTTACCTGTTGTGGTGGTGTATGATTGGTTATATTGTCACCTGTTGTGGTGGTGACTGATTGGTTATATTGTCACCTGTTGAGGTGCTGACTGATTGGTTATATTGTCACCTGTTGTTGTGCTGACTGATTGGTTATATTGTCACCTGTTGTGGTTGTCGCTGTGGATGACCAGGCCATGGAGCTGACCCTCGTGAATGCTAATTTAACGCTGTCGGGTAGTTCTCAATGCAGTGGTTCATCACCTCCTCTCGCCTCCTCTACGCATCGCAAGAAGGAAACAAGAATTGTGAAAAGCCTGGTATTTCTCGGTCCTCAGTCAGCCTACACAGATACAAGTTACCATTGTGTACAGAAAACTGCCTCTGTTACATCCTAACAATAAATTTATGTTCATTACACTAAAAGCTTCACTAATATTCAACAGACTTCGGCCTTCAGGGTCGACATATTTAGTTGCCAACATTCCATGATCTCACTCCTACAGCTAGGATTAACAGTTAACATCCCATGATCTCACTCCTACAGCTAGGGTTAACAGTTAACATCCCATGATCTCACTCCTACAGCTAGGGTTAACAGTTAACATCCCATGATCTCACTCCTGTAGCTAGGGTTAACAGTTAACATCCCATGATCTCACTCCTGAAGCTAGAGTTAACAGTTAACATCTCATGATCTCACTCCTGAAGCTAGGGTTAACAGTTAACATCCCATGATCTCACTCCTGTAGCTAGGGTTAACAGTTAACATCCCATGATCTCACTCCTGAAGCTAGGGTTAACAGTTAACATCTCATGATCTCACTCCTGAAGCTAGGGTTAACAGTTAACATCCCATGATCTCACTCCTGTAGCTAGGGTTAACAGCTAACATCCCATCTCACTCCTCTGAAGCTAGAGTTAACAGTTAACATCCCATGATCTCACTCCTGAAGCTAGGGTTAACAGTTAACATCTCATGATCTCACTCCTGAAGCTAGGGTTAACAGTTAACATCCCATGATCTCACTCCTGTAGCTAGGGTTAACAGCTAACATCCCATCTCACTCCTAAAGCTAGGGTTAACAGTTAACATCCCATGATCTCACTCCTGTAGCTAGGGTTAACAGCTAACATCCCATGATCTCACTCCTGTAGCTAGGGTTAACAGTTAACATCCCATGATCTCACCTCCTGTAGCTAAGATTAACAGTTAACATCCCATGATCTCACTCCTGAAGCTAGGGTTAACAGTTAACATCCCATCTCACTCCTGAAGCTAGAGTTAACAGTTAACATCCCATGATCTCACTCCTGAAGCTAGGGTTAACAGTTAACATCTCATGATCTCACCCTGAAGCTAGGGTTAGAGAGTTAACATCCCATGATCTCACTCCTGTAGCTAGGGTTGACAGCTAACATCCCATGATCTCACTCCTATAGCTAGGATTAACAGTTAACCAGGGATGGAAATAACCCATTGCCCGATGTCCGAGTCCAGTGTTTTTTTTTCTGTCGGGCAAGCAAATTTTTTACATCATACTGTACCGTGTCCAGTTGATTTTCCAATGTTAATCATGTTGTTTATTTAAAAACAACAAGAAAAATTATCAGGGCAAGTGATTTTACATGTGCCACTGTACAGGAGTACACTACCAATTTTAAAGTTATTTCCACCCCTCGTTAACACCCCATGATCTCACTCCTGAAGCTAGGTTTAACAGTTAACATCAGAGGGACTCACTCCTGTAGCTAGGGTTAACAGTTAACATCAGAGGGACTCACTCCTGTAGCTAGGGTTAACAGTTAACATCAGAGGGACTCACTCCTGTAGCTAGGGTTAACAGTAAACACATGCTGGACTCCACTCCTGTAGCTAGGGTAACAGTTAACATCAGAGGGACTCACTCCTGTAGCTAGGGTTAACAGTAAACACATGCTGGACTCACTACTGCTAGCATTAACAGTTAACATGAAAGGGACTCCACTCCTGTAGCTAGGGTTAACAGTTAACATGAGAGGGACTTACTCTTGTAGCTAGGGATTAACAGTTAACACGAGAGGAATCACTCCTGTAGCTAGGGGTAACAGTCAACATGAGAGGGACTTACTCTTGTAGCTAGGGTTAACAGTTAACACGAGAGGGACTCACTCCTGCAGCAAGCTGCTTAATGGTTAACATGAGAGGGACTTACTCTTGTAGCTAGGGTTAATGGTTAACATGAGAGGGACTCACTCCTGCATCTAGGGTTAATGGTGAACATGAGAGGGACTTACTCTTGTAGCAAGGGGGTAACAGTTAACATGAGAGGGACTTACTCCTGTAGCTAGGGTTAACAGTTAACATGAGAAAGACTCTACTCCTGTAGCTAGGGTGAACAGTTAACATGAGAGGGACTCACTCCTGCAGCTAGGGTTAACAGTTAACATGAGAGGGACTTACTCTTGTAGCTAGGGTTAACAGTTAACATGAGAAAGACTTACTCCTGTAGCTAGGGTTAATGGTTAACATGAGAGGGACTTACTCCTGTAGCTAGGGTTAACAGTTAACATGAGAGGGACTTACTCTTGTAGCTAGGGTTAACAGTTAACATGAGAGGGAATCACTCCTGCAGCTAGGGTTAACAGTTAACATGAGAGGGATTTACTCTCCTGTAGCTAGGGTTAACAGTTAACATGAGAAAGACTTTACTCCTGTAGCTAGGGTTAACAGTTAACATGAGAGGGACTTCACTCCTGTAGCTAGGGTTAACAGTTAACATGAGAGGGACTCACTCCTGCAGCTAGGGTTAACAGTTAACATGAGAGGGACTCACTCCTGTAGCTAGGGTTAACAGTTAATACAAGAGGGGACTAACTCCTGCAGCTAGGGTAACAGTTAATACAAGAGGGACTCACTCCTGCAGCTAGGGTTAACAGTTAACATGAGAGGGACTCACTCCTGTAGCTAGGGTTAACAGTTAATACAAGAGGGACTCACTCCTGTAGCTAGGGAGTAACAGTTAATACAAGAGGGACTCCACCTCCTGTAGCTAGGGGTAACAGTTAATACAAGAGGGACTCACTCCTGTAGCTAGGGTTAATGGTTAACATGAGAGGGACTTACTCCCCAGCTAGGGGTAACAGTTAATACAAGAGGGACTCACTCCTGCAGCTGTGTCCCTATTGTAGCCTCAATGTCATCCTCCACATACAGTGTGACCTCCGCGACCTTCGTGACCTTGACTCTTGACGCCTCTGTAGAGAATACAGTAATAGTCAACTGAGGACATAATGGCTGCCATATACTGTAAATCATGAAATTAATGCGAGCATTTTATTAATGCACGAAAAATGCCTCTGTACTCTTCGCATTATTATAATGACGATTTCAGTCCGACCGTGTCTACTTTGGTAAACTTAATAAAAGACAGAAAAATGTAAATCTGTTGACATTACACCAACACAGGCCACTTCCTCATTACAGGTATCTCAAGCCACAAGTTATTATCACTGGTTATAATCCCTGGTCATTGTTTAAAGTCACTCAAGCACATCAGTCAGACCTAACATTCTCCAGCCGCTTGTTTTTGCACCTTGGTAGTGACTAGTGTCTTTCAAGTCGGATTACATTTATAAATGTTGTCATAAGACAAGTAGTAGCAAACAATCACATGATCAAAACATCGCCAGCTCATTTCCATTCATTGCTTAATAAGCTCAATTCAGGTTATTTGGTAACTAACAAGTGTGAAAAGAAACTGAACAACATCAAAGATTCAGGGTGTCCCATTTTATCATCACATTCCTGAGCTCGCATTGATTTCGTGACGCATGTTAGACTGGACCCTCATACTCGCATTAAAATAGTGACGCATCAATTTCATGATTTACAGTTTCTACATGACCTATCAATTGTTTGTCTCTCTATATGTATGATTATGAAACAATTCAAACAGGACTTACAAAATCCTCCAGTATGTCGTATGTAAGTTGGAAGGGGTCCCATTACAGAAACCTTCAATGAAATGCTGCCTGTTCAACACATTCTGGTCTGGAAAACAGAGAAACATCAGATCAAAATGACAGACAGCAATTGAGCTGTAGACAGATATGTCTTAATTCTGACACTGACAGACAGCCATGTACAGTGAGACCCCTATATCCGACACATTCGTTTTTTTATGTAAATCGCCTGGACAACTGAAAATCTTGATATCTGTCATCCGGCTTAGGCGTTGAAATGGTAGCGAGCATACACTTCTGGTTTAAAATCACTTTCAAAACTGCATGGTCATTTTGATTTGATTTGCCAATTACAATTCACTCTGTATCAGATAGGCCTACTAATCACCACCAATACACTGCTGATCGGTCATTAATCCGGATTAGCAGACCTTGTCTCGTGTCAAGACATGTGGGACACTCGCGCTTCACTTCACACGGTCAGGGGAAGATAAAGCTTCGTGAGGATAAGTAAGTCAGTTTTGTGTTGATGTAGCCGGTTGGTTTGTAAAAACCGTCTGGGAACGGAAACCACATATCCATTATAGACAGTCACTTTTATAACGTAAGAGATTGGTTTTTCATGAAAATTGACCAGAAATCGAGGTTTCCGGATATTTGGGGTCCGGGTATCTGGGGTCTCACTGTATACCATGTGATAGGTCAGTTAACTGTTAGGCTACAGCACACTGTTTAGATGACCATCATTTGCTTAAAATCATATATCTATAAAAATGATAACATAACAAATTTACAAGGAGCCCATAACAGTTATTACTTCAGCTTTGTGTTCAGGCAGTTTAGACAGGTTACATTATTCTAGGCTTGAGTTGAACTCTAGGGTCTGGCAGACCAACTAACTGTTCAGCACATACTGACCTTGTTGTAATGGGATCCAGTTTGTAGTGTTGAACTGCAGACCAGTCAGTTTTGGTTCATGTCCAACTGATGAACAGAGATTACAGATATGGAACGACTTCATGTTATGTATGTGAAATGAATGAACTTGAATGAAGACCAGGTATTTTGTGGAGGTAATGAGGAGGTGTGCATGTAATGAAGGCATGCCTACCATTTCCTCCAGCTTGTCGATCTCCTCCTGCACCTCCTCCAGGCTCAGAGCTGATATCGTCCAGAATCTCTGCAACAGATCTTAACCATCAGTGGAATGTGAGAATAGTTAAAATGCATTCAGTTACAAACTCACAGGTTTTAACATAAAAATTCTTTGACACTTACATATTGTGGTAGCACAACAGATATATTTTCAATGCTGCCACAGTAAAAGGCATTTGGCAATTTTTGTTCTTAAAGTTTTATCTCACTGTTGATCACAGTTCACCCCAACCAAGCCCTGGAAGTCTTCCCTCCTTCCCAAAGGATCTTTCTTTCAAGGTCAATCTTCACCTCAAGGTCTGCAATCTCTTGTTCAAGCTGTATCACCTGTGCATTCAGCTGCGATCCCAGCCCTGTGAGTTCCCTCCCTTGGTCAAGGGATGTCGCTGCTTCTCCACGCTGTCCGTGGTGTCCAGTCATGTCTGTCTGTTGGTGTAATGCGGACATACTCGCTCAATGTCGCTGGTGTCCATTCTGTAGAGGAAGACATTCCCTGCCAGCATTATGACTGCGCCAAACTATCACTGTGTGATGGTCAGACTAAACAACGATGTGTGTCATGCTGTAAAAAGATTTGGTTCCCCATAGTAAAAGTTCCGGTGAACTTTTCATTCCAACATTTGTTCCTGTAATAGTGCATGCGAACAATTATTTCGTTCCGCACACACAGAATTTATTCGGTAAAGAGGAACTTCCACACACATCATAAAAAAAGTGTCTAAAAGAGGGTTTTGTTTGTTGGGGTGGTCTTAAAAATTGGGGCGGGGAACGGAAAGGAAAAAAGATTTTCCCTCACGGTATTTGTTCCATTTGCAACAAATCATGCGGCTATCAAGAAGCAATTATCATGTGTGAAAGTTACTTAATTTTTTTATGAAAATACATTGTAGATTCCCCAGAATGCTAACTGATGATTCTAAATGAATCTTGAGTTAAAAGAGTTCAGTTATTATGTAACCAAGTTACCTTCATTAATCAGGTTACAGTCAGTAGCCAGGTTACAGTCAACATGTAAACCAAGTTACAGTCAGTCAGTAGCCAGGTTACAGTTGACATGTAACCAAGTTACAGTCAGTCAGTAGCCAGGTTGCAGTCAACATGTTACCAAGTTAGTCAGTAGCCAGGTTACAGTCAACATGTTACCAAGTTAGTCAGTAGCCAGGTTACAGTCAACATGTAACCAATTAACAGTCAGTCAGTCAGCCAGGTTACAGTCAACATGTAACAATGAACAGTCAGTCAGTAGCCAGATTTCAGTCAACATGTAACCAAGTTACAGTTAGTTGGTAGCCAGGTTACAGTCACTATGTAACCAAGTTACAGTCAGTCAGTAGCCAGGTTAGTGAACATGTAACCTAGTTACAGTTAGTCAGTAGCCAGATTACAGTCAACATGTAACCAAGTTGGAGTTCGAGTCAGTAGCCAGGTTACAGTCGATTATGTAACCAAGTTACAGTCAGTAGCCAGGTTACAGTCGGCATACAACCACGCTACAGTCAGTAGCCAGATTACAGCCTCGACATGTAACCAAGTTACAGTCAGTAGCCAGGTTACAGTCGATTATGTAACCAAGTTACAGTCAGTAGCCAGGTTACAGTCGACATGTAACCACGTTACAGTCAGTAGCCAGGTTACAGTTGACATGTAACCAAGTTACAGTCAGTAGCCAGGTTACAGTCAACATGAAACCAAGTTACAGTTAGTCAGTACCCAGTTTACAGTCAGCATGTAAACTTAAAGTTACAGTTAGTCAGTAGCCAGGTTACAGTCGACATGTAACCAAGTTACAGTCAGTAGCCAGGTTACAGTCGACATGTAACCACGTTACAGTCAGTAGCCAGGTTACAGTTGACATGTAACCAAGTTACAGTCAGTAGCCAGGTTACAGTCAACATGAAACCAAGTTACAGTTAGTCAGTACCCAGTTTACAGTCAGCATGTAAACCAAGTTACAGTTAGTCAGTAGCCAGGTTACAGTCAACATGTAACCAAGTTGAAGTTAGTTGAGATCCCGGAAGTTGGATGAGTCCATTTTGCATTCAATAATGACTGAATAGGTTAGGCCTGACGGTATTTGTTCCTGTTCGATGGAATATTTGCCGTATGTGCGGAAATTTTATTAGTCTCATCCATTCTCAATTTCACGGCATTTATTCCGAACCGGAACGTTTACTACTCGGAACTAAATCATGTTTACAATGCTCCCAACAAACACAGAAACATCCAAATTGTGCTCTACGAAGTAATATTTATTCACAAAGGACAGCATTAAGTAATATATACAGTATTAAAAAACACACACATAATATACGCTAAAAGTTAAGAAAATGCCTACTGGTCGATTTTTCGCTGCACAGAACTTGCGATTGTGTCAATTTCCGAAGAGCCCGCCATCTTCATGAAGATTGAGGACCTCTCATTAACAAATAAAGCTATGAATATTTCGACGTGCTAAAACAAAACAGGCACAGGTTGTGAATTTTTTTTATTTGGCCAAGGCTACAAAAATCTGTTAAAAACGATAAAGAATTCAATGATTATTCATTTCATGTTATTCACATAGAGAGATGAATACTACAAAATGATAAGTCCCGTCGCATTCTGTTCGTATGGACAAACCGATAATGACTGACAGTCGTATTCCCATATATTCCTCACAATTCAAGTATAAATTCCTTACAGTTCGTGCAAGTATGAGACGTGATTCCTTTCTATACTATAATAGTGATAGTTATGATTTTCTGAAACAAAGGGCATTCTTGCAAACAGAATTTAACCATTCCCATGAATGTTCCTTATTTTTCTAATCGAACGAACTAAAACATTTAATATATTTTAGGAAGCGAAATACGATTTTTAAATAATACACACACATTACCAAATCATAGGTCAAAGAAATTCTACAGAATAAGGCTACCAAAATAGGTTAAAGACGGATATTATTGAAAAGAATAAATCCTATGTATATCCTGCAAGGTGTGTTCCAGATGGTAGCAATAGTTTCTAGTTTTTATTAAAACCCAAATGGCAGCCCCCCCATGATAGCAATGTGGTAAACATGAACTGTTCACGTTCCGGGTTATAATTCGATTATATATCACTTTGGCCGATAGTTTGACGAAACGAAACGGAGTAGAGGTAAATTTCAAAACGTTTATTACTTTGAATGTAGCACGACGGGCAAAACGTGCATAATAGCAATGTGGTAAACATGAACTGTTCACGTTCCAGGTTATAATTCGATTATAATATCACATTGACCGGTAGTTTGACGAAACATTGAATTGCCTACATTGAATTAAGACGTAAATATCTTTTTGTTGCAATTCTATGTTTTCCCAATATACTAAAATTTAATTCGTTGTTATCATCCAAAAATGAAGACATTTCCTTGAATACTGCCAACATTTGTTGGGTGCAGGCTAAAACGGAACCACAGCAAAACGGCACCAGGCGAAAACGGCACCATTTGGACATAACGGAACCTCGACTTGGCGAAAACGGCTATAAATCTTATGGTGAAAACGGCACCAAATAAAAATCCTAATTATTGGGAACATCTTATTTGTCAGTAGATAATCTGAATACAGAATTTTGGAAGCCGCCTACTCTGGCCGACAGTGATTGGAAAGTTTGTGTTAGCTGATAATCGGATTCCAGTATGTTTAGATAATGAATGAGTCTGACTGATAATCGGCTTGTAGAATGTTTCGATAGTCAAAACATCTACTGTGCCGAGAGTGATTGGAAAAGCCTGTAAATTTAGCATGAAAACATCACAACCTTTGATGTTTTAAGTACATTTACTCAACTCAAATCGCCCCCCAACTCAGTGTCAAAATGAAACTGTATTTAAAACGCAAAGAATGTACATTATTACATATCATTCATCACAATGCCTCACCACTGTGTTGTATGCGATAAGACTGTCAGGGAAGAATCAACATGCCGTGATCTTGTGACGAGTGTGATTTATGGACTCATCGTGTTTGTGGTACCGGCCTGTCTGTACTAAGATGCGCATGATCCACGGACCAATCGCTTAGTGCAATTCATGAAGACATTCGCCAAATAAGCATCCGCCAAATATGGACGGTGAACATGTGTTATGTTGACGGTTTGTTATCGCCTTTATTATAATCTTGTTATTTTAATGAAATCGGGTGATTCAGTGAGTTATGATTTTACGCTTTTAGCAATATTCCAGCTATATCGCGTGTTATAAGCTTGCTAATGTTGAAATGAAATAAAACCATAAGTCAACGCCATACTGTGTTTTTATATGTTGATTCTAATGTTATAATTAAACTAACTAAAACATAAAAGTCAACATCATACTGTGTTTTGTATATGGTGCCGCTTTTAGCTCAGAAATCAGTAGCCGCTACTTAACACGGTGCCGCTTTCGCCAAACGGTTTTGGTGCCGCTCTGCTGTGGTTCCGCTTTTAGCTATAACCCATATTTGTTTCTCATGCATTCGACAAAAAGGAAATCAATTTTGTCATATTAAGATTGTATATGTTATATATGCTTTCATTATTATCATTACATTTCATGTCTGCACCGATGAGGTGTTTTTGTACTCATAGGCCCGTGGCCTCATAGTAATATTAGTATTGGAAATAAAGATTTGAAGGTCTGTATACAGAAACATGCCTGGGGTACATATCTGTATACAGAAAGATACCTGTGGTACGTATGTGTATACAGAAACATACCTGGGGTACATATGTGTATACAGAAACATACCTGGGGTACATATCTGTATACAGAAACATACCTGGGGTACATATATCTGTATACAGAAACATACCTGGTACATATCTGCATACAGAAACATACCTGGGGTACATATCTGTATACAGAAACATACCTGGGGTACATATCTGCATACAGAAACATACCTGGGGTACATATCTGCATACAGAAACATACCTGGGGTACATATCTGTATACAGAAACATACCTGGGGTACATATCTGCATACAGACATACCTGGGGTACATATCTGCATACAGAAACATACCTGGGGTACATATCTGCATACAGAAACATACCTGGGGTACTGATAACCTGGGGTACATATACTCCCCATCAAAATTTTAGACTCACTAGTGTAAATGTAGTCACTTACTTAAGTCAACTCTTCTAAACTAGATTTTGCAAAATTTTACATACTGTTTAAAGGTTCTGTTTACACATGAACTGATGTATTGTAAACCAAATTCGTAACGCTGAAAAGGTTATTGTCATGGGTTAAAAAATGGTGATTGAGTGAGTTTAGTTTTACCCGCGACTCAGCAATATTCCAGCTATATGGCGGCGGTCTGTAGATAATCAAGCCTGGACCAGACAATCCAATGATCAACAGCATGAGCATCGATCTGCGCAATTGGGAACTGATGACAAACCAAGTCAGCAAACCTGACCACCCGATCCCTAGTTAGTTGCCTCTTACGACAAGCATAGTCGCATTTTGTGGCAAGCATGGGTTGCTGAAGACCTATTCTACCCCGGATCTTCACGGGTCTAAAAAGATGGTGGAACTGAGTGAAAATTGGCGAATTTTTAACAAAATTTTACACCACAACACAGCTGTTCACATGCACGATATTTGCACATGCTTTTTAGCAATTTAATGCATGACCCTCGTGCAATTCATTTGCATAAAGTTTGCAGTTGGTTCCCCGGAGTTAGTGGAGAAATTCATTTTCGATGTAACCACACATATATGCATAACATATAGTGAGTGCTTTAAGTGAGTCTAAACTTTTGTTTGTTTGTGTATACAGAAACATACCTGGGGTACATATCAGTAGTACCTGTGCTGACAACGACCGCTTCAGCTTAGGTTAGGGAGTGTTTGTGTATACAGAAACATACCTGGGGTACAAGCACTGAAAATATAGTAATCTCACACCTTAACTTATTGGGGAAACAGTTGTCTTCGTATTTAGTTTTCTTATGAACCAGTGTGTTTCCATCTGTTCCAGACATCATTATCTGTCAGGATGACTGCTGCTGCTGAAGGCAGGCAGACAAGGAGGATCTATGTTGGGGTCTTTTTCCTGAGATACACCCTGACGACCTGCTTGCGCAGCAAGTTTGCCAGATTTGGTTCTGTGGAGGATATCCAGATCAAAGTTCGCGAGGGATGAACAAGGTATACTACACCATATTTGCACTGCATCACTACTACCAACAGTACTGATATAATTGTAAGGACACTGACATAAATGTAAGGACACTGATGTAAATGTAAGGACACTGATGTAAATGTAAGGACACTGACGTAAATGTAAGAACACTGATGTAAATGTAAGGACACTGATGTAAATGTATATCACTGACGTAAATGTAAGAACACTGATGTAAATGTAAGGACACTGATGTAAATGTATATCACTGATGTAAATGTAAGAACACTGATGTAAATGTAAGCACACTGACATAAATGTAAGGACACTGATGTAAATGTAAGAACACTGATGTAAATGTAAGGACCCTGACGTAAATGTAAGGACACTGATGTAAATGTAAGAACGCTGATGTAAATGTAAGGACCCTGACGTAAATGTAAGGACACTGATGTAAATGTAAGGACACTGATGTAAATGTAAGGACCCTGACGTAAATGTAAGGACACTGATGTAAATGTAAGGACCCTGACGTAAATGTAAGAACACTGATGTAAATGTAAGGACACTGACGTAAATGTAAGGACACTGATGTAAATGTAAGGACCCTGACATAAATGTAAGAACACTGATGTAAATGTAAGGACACTGATGTAAATGTAAGGACACTGATGTAAATGTAAGGAAACTGATGTAAATGTAAGGACACTGATGTAAATGTAAGAACACTGACGTAAATGTAAGAACACTGATGTAAATGTAAGGACACTGACGAAAATGTAAGGACACTGACGTCAATGTAAGAACCCTGACGTAAATGTAAGGACACTGATGTAAATGTAAGAACACTGATGTAAATGTTTAACACTGATGTAAATGTATAACACTTATGTAAATGTAAGGGCACAGATGTAAATGTAAGGGCACAGATGTATATGTAAGAACACTGATGTAAATGTAAGAACACTGATGTAAATGTAGGGACCCTGATGTAAATGTAAGAACACTGATGTAAATGTAAGGGACACTGATGTAAATGTATATCACTGATGTAAATGTAAGAACACTGATGTGAATGTAAGCACACTGACATAATGTAAGGACACTGATGTAAATGTAAGAACACTGATGTAAAATGTAAGGACCCTGGCGTAAATGTAAGGACACTGATGTAAATGTAAGAACAGCTGATGTAAATGTAAGGACCCTGACGTAAAATGTAAGGATCCTGATGTAAATGTAAAAATGTAAGAACACTGATGTAAATGTAAGGACACTGATGTAAATGTAAGGACCCTGGCGTAAATGTAAGGACACTGATGTAAATGTAAGGACCCTGGCGTAAATGTAAGAACACTGATGTAAATGTAAGGACACTGGCGTAAAATGTAAGGACACTGATGTAAATGTAAGGACCCTGACATAAATGTAAGAACACTGATGTAAATATAAGGACACTGGTGTAAATATAAGGACACTGATGTAAATGTAAGGAAACTGATGAAAATGTAAGGACACTGGCGTAAATGTAAGAACACTGGCGTAAATGTAAATCGACACAGATGTAAATGTAAGGACACAGATGTAAATGTAAGGACACTGATGTAAATGTAAGGACACTGATGTAAATGTAAGAACACTGATGTAAATGTATATCACTGATGTAAATGTAAGGACACTTTGATGTTAATGTAAGAACACTGATGTAAATGTAAGGGACACAGATGTAAATGTAAGGGGCACAGATGTATATGTAAGAACACTGATGTAAATGTAAGAATACTGATGTAAATGTAAGGACACTGATGATGTAAATGTAAGAACACTGATGTAAATGTATATCACTGATGTAAATGTAAGGACACTGATGTTAATGTAAGAACACTGATGTAAATGTAAGGACACAGATGTAACTGTAAGGGCACAGATGTAAATGTAAGGGCACAGATGTATATGTAAGAACACTGATGTAAATGCACTAAATAACACTGATGTAAATGTAAGGACACCTGATGTTGAAATGTAAGAACACTGATGTAAATGTAAGGACACTGATGTAAATGTAGGGGACACTGATGTAAATGTAAGAACACTGATGTAAATGTAAGAACACTGATGTAAATGTATGAACACTGATGTAAAATGTAAGGCAACACTGATGTAAATGTGAGGACACTGATGTGTAAATGTAAGAACCCCTGATGTAAATGTAAATGAAAACTGATGTAAATGTATATCACTGATGTAAATGTAAGGACACGATGTTAATGTAAGAACACTGATGTAATTGTAAGAACACTGATGTAAATGTAACAGACACAGATGTAAATGTAAGAACACAGATGTAAAATTGCAAGGACACTGATGTAAATGTAAGAACACTGATGTAAATGTAAAGGACACTGATGTCAATGTAAGAACACTGACATGAAACTAAACTTAAGAACACTGACATGAATGTATAAAACTGATGTAAATGTAAGGGGACACTGACATAAATGTATAGCACTCTAAAAATGTAAGACAGTGACCTTAAACTGGCGTGGGAATGTGTAAGTTGGTTTATCTATGTTTTTTCCTTCTTGTTTCCAGGTGAACCAGTGAAAACATTTGCCTACCTCAACATCAATGGAACAAAGAAAGATCTTGACACATGTGAGTAATTTGACCGACACATTTCAGTAATAAGAAAGTCTGTGCACTGATTTCAGTGATTTGTTGCATGTCAAAAACAAACAAACTGAGGATCAGACACATGTTGATACTGAGCACTAAAATCCACGCTTTGTGATTTGTCATGTGATATTCTTTGTATTATAGTCAGTGAGTGAGTGAGTTTAGTTTTACACCGCGACTCAGCAATATTTCAGCTATATGGCAGCGGTCTGTAAATAATTGAGTCTGGACAAGGCAATTCTGTGATCAACAGCATGAACATCTATACAATGACAAAGTCAGCAAGCCTGATCAATTCTACAAAGCTTACAGTTGTAGACAAGTCCAATGCTGTGATACACCTTACTGTTGGTAACAGTACAGTCTATGCTGTGATACACCTTACTGTTGGTAACAGTACAGTCTATGCCTGTGATACACCTTAATGTTGGTAACAGTACAGTCTATGCTGTGATACACCTGTTGGTAATGTTACACCTTACTGTTGGTAACAGTACAGTCTAGCAGTGATACACCTTACTGTTGGTAACAGTACAGTCTATGCTGCGATACACATTACTGTTGGCAACAGTACAGTCTAGCCTGTGATACAATCTTACTGTTGGTAACAGTACAGTCTATACTGTGATACACCTTACTGTTGGTAACAGTACAGTCTATGCTGTGATACACCTTACTGTTGGTAACAGTACAGTCTATGCTGTGATACACCTTACTGTTGGTAACAGTACAGTCTATGCTGTGATACACCTTGGTAACTGTTGGTAACTTACTGTTGGTACAGTCAGTCTATGCTACACCTTACTGTTGGTAACAGTACAGTCTATGCTGTGATACACCTTACTGTTGGTAACTGCAGTTTATGGTGATACACTTTACTGTTGTAACAGTACAGTCTATGCTGTGATACACCTTACTGTTGGTAACAGTACAGTCTAGCCTGTGATACACCTTACTGTTGGTAACAGTACAGTCTATGCTGTGATACACCTTACTGTTGGTAACAGTACAGTCTATACTGTGATACACCTTACTTGTTGGTAACAGTGCAGTCTATGCTGTGATACACCTTACTGTTGGTAACATTTACAGTCTATGCTGTGATACACCTTACTGTTGGTAACAGTACAGTCTATGCTGCGATACACCTTACTGTTGGTAACAGTACAGTCTATGCTGTGATACACCTTACTGTTGGTAACAGTACAGTCTAGCCTGTGATCCACACCTACTGTTGGTAACGGTACAGTCTAGCCTGTGATACACCTTACTGTTGGTAACGGTACAGTCTATGCTGTGATACACACCTTACTGTTGGTAACAATCTTACTGTTGGTAACAGTACAGTCTATGCTGTGATACACCTTACTGTTGGTAACAGTACAGTCTAGCCTGTGATACACCTTACTGTTGGTAACAATACAGTCTAGCCTGTGATACACCTTACTGTTGGTAACAGTTTTTACAGTCTATACACCTTACTGTCTAGATATACCTTTATTGTTGGTAACCGTGACAGTTGTGATAACCTTACGGTTGGTAATAATACAGTGCCTGTGATACACCTTACTGTTGGTAACAGTACAGTCTATGCTGTGATACACCTTAATGTTGGTAACAGTACAGTCTAGCCTGTGATACACCTTAATGTGATGCACCTTGAAGGTTTCAGTATGTTCTCTCGCGGGCAAAATGGAAGGGTTTCACTCTGGTCCTGCAAACAGCCAAAGAGAATTTTCTCACCAGGTAAGCTACCTATACCAAATAATGCCAAGTAATATTTTCCCCTGTATCATGATGATGGTAGATCACCCAGTACTGTGATTGCAGTAATGTGGTTCTACTCTCACGGAGGAGTCTGTGTGGGTACATTGACATAAAGTGGCCAGGGTAGGGTTATTTCAGATCTTGCCATCATTTTGTTAACTTTGCCTTGTCTGCAGGTTGGAGAAGGAGCGAGGTGATGCTGCCCAGCCTCTGGACAAGGACAAGAACCTGTATCTACATGATCCCTTTGCTGAGGCACCGGGGGTGCAGGACTTTGTCATGAGAGGAGCTGTACCAGGCACCCCAATCCCCGGGGAAAAGGTAGGCTGCTTCAGTTGTAGACCGTTGTAGTTGTAGACCGTTGTAGTTGTAGACCGTTGTAGTTGTAGGCTGTTGTAGTTGTAGGCTGTTGTAGTTGTAGGCTGTTGAAGTTGTAGGCTTTGATTAAACGAACTGTATCATTTGAGAGGCATTCATTGGATCCCCCCTCTCCGGAGCATTGGCCAAATCGGGTTGAGCTGACTCTGAATTTGCCTTCTCATCCCATAGATCTGTATCTAGCACACGGTTTGACATCTCCATGGGTTCGCTGAATCATGTCAGTGCTATGTCTCAGCCTGTTGATGTGTCAGATGCTTGGCCTTATGTGCCTGCTTCAACCCGCATTGACACCCCTCACCTGTGAATTCGGACGAACACTCTACCTCGGAGGGCAGCTTCGACTTGGTGGATCCTTCCCATATCCTAGTATGTTGCAGCTGCCCAGGAGCAGGTCTGTGGATAGTCTCCTGTCTTCTTATGCCATGAGGAATTGGGACCTGTCGACCATCAGGTTCCCTCCTCGCACCTGTATCACGCAGATGTCGTCTTCCGTGGATGACGCATTCAAGAACCTGAAGTGCATCAGAGATGTTTTTACTGCTCCTATGTTCTCTGTTTTCTCCAGAAGTCGCTTGTAAGTAAGGGCTACTCTCATGAGTGGCTTCGGGGATTACCAGATTTCCATTCAGTCATTATACGATGACAAATGGAAGAGATTCGAGGTCTATTGTAGAGTTAGGGGCATTCCGTCCTCTACTTCTTCTTCAGCACAGGTTCCTTTAGCTTTTGTGTGCTACAAGGAAATTGAAGGGAACTAAGCTGGCTACATATTTGGCTGCTATAAACACGGTGTTAGCTACGACGACCTCTCCATCGTCCTCCATCACCTTGTCTGCAGTGATTATGAAGGAGTTACTTTCAAAACTTTTTTCTGCTTGGTAGCCTTGCCTACTGCGGCTCATATTGGACGTTAACCGTGTGAAGTTTGAGCAGAAGAAACTTGGCAAGGTTTTTCTTGGTCTCCATTGGGACTTCAACCATGCCATTGCACAGCAACTGCTCCTTGATGTCAATCATGGAGGGCTGCTTCTGGAGGTCAGATACAGTCTTCTTGTTGCACTATCTACGAGACCTCTTCATCACTGATGTAGAGGGGCTCCATCGATTTCGATGAGTTCCGCTGGGCACATCTTCGACTAAGCTTAGGCAAAGGAGCAGGGGTTGTTCAATGTTGTTCGGAACCGAACGTTAAAATAGTGAGCTTCCTGAGTCATTGTTTCTTTCATCTTTCTATGATGGTGTCTGCGGGGGCGGTCTCGAAGCAGGGGTGGCCAGATTAAGGTTGAGACATTGTAATTTACTGGGGCATTCTGTAAATTGTGGCGAGGCAGGATTTCTTGCCGGGCTCCGTCCTTTCGCCTTTACCCAAAGGTTGCAGCGGAAAAACACATTAGTCTGGAGTTTTGTGCATAGTACGCCAAGGGGTTCTGTGGATGAACCAGTCACAAGCATAGGAGTTACGTAATCTTTGGATTCGTAACAAGCCTCCCATGTGCATCGCTATCTATGGTTGTTTACAGTTAATTGGCACTAGTTGTCTGCACTGTCAAGACACAGGGTAATCTGCGCCCGCTGTCCAACCGTGGGATAAGTACAAGACATGAGATAGGATAAGTTTAAAATTTTGAAAATTTTAACTATAAATTGTATATTTATCTACTTATCCTGACTCATGCTTATTGCTTGTCTTCTTCTTTCTTGCGAACCTAGTGGAACACTTGTATCTCCCAACTGAAGTTCCCTTCAATAAAAATCACTCATTAGTACCCACCACGAAGTTACCTCCCTTCCACAAGCGCTGAACGAGGGCCACCCAACCCATGTGCCTCTACTCTCTCCTTCTTCACCCCAGTGAGCAAGACGTGAGAGCACCTGTGTCTCCCTGCACACTATATCCTTTATTTATATTTAGTTTGTTACCTCTTATATTCATCTATAGAGGTGTAACTAGTATCATTATTCAACATGCATTGATAATTATTCGTGTTTCTGCTGCTTGATTCACGGTTCGGCCGTGTTTTACTCAGCAGTTTGCGTTAATAAAAATCTGCACTGTTTGTAAATTACGCTACTCTGCTACCGATCCACATTTAAAATGCCCTAGTTGCATTACTCCATGTTCTATTGTTTCTCGTTGTAAATTATGTATTAATTTACCAATTTCTACCTTTGATAAATATTTATGTTCCGCTTTTGAGACGGAAGGCAGATAAATCTCGAAACAATCTTCAGTCATGGCTAATAGATCGGAGTCAGATATATCCTGAGTTACCTTCCGGGGGATAAGCGTGGACGCAGTCCGCTATATCCTAGAAGCGACCTGCTTCCCAGGACGCTCCTTCATCACAGTCTAAAACTAGAAGAGCTTCCACGCGTCGTCTCAACGCATGCGCTCGAACCCCAGGTCTACAGCCCGCGTCAAAAGGGAAATCCACGAAGGCTACTAAAACAACTTTGCTTCTGATATTCAGAATTATGTTTATATGATGATGACATTTTCGATTATCATTCCAGATGTATGTCATAAGAAGTGACCAGTATCGGCTACCGTCACTTCAGCGCAGATCAACATGCAATCAGAACCTACGCTGGACGCCAGAGATTATAACTGAGGGTCTCGTCACTATCACAGAGAGGACACCCTCAACGCCAGCGCGCAGACCATCCCAGATGACCTGGTCAACCAAATCATGAGGCTGATGGAAGACCGTTCACGGCTTACAGAGGCTTCAGAACCACGGGCCTCAGAGCCCACCCCATACTAAGTCATACAGGGCCTTAGAGCCCGCCTTGGCTTCGGCGTAGGGCCTTTGAGCCCACAGGCAGCGCCTCCGCGAAGGCGCAACCCAGCCCGTAGCGAACACTTCGCTAAGGAAGTCCCAGGTCAGCCTCGCGAAGGAGCTTAGAGCCTCACTAGTTACGAGGGACATCATGAGAAGAGAAGGGCTTCGCCGACCCTACACCCTGTAGAACACAGAGGTCGCTTTGCGGCAAAGCTGGGGAGCTTCGCCCGAGCCCACACCCTGTAGAACACAGAGGTCGCTTTGCGAAGCAAGCTCATATATTGAGTTGCGGGAAAGCCGCCCGAGCCCACACCCTGTAGAACACAGAGGTCTTTCGGAAGCAAGCTCATATATAGAGTTAGCGGGGCGCTTCGCGAGCCCACACCCTGTAGAACACAGAGGTCGCTTCGAAGCAAGCGCCATATATTGAGTTAGCGGAGCGCTTGGCCGAGCCCACACCCTGTAGAACACAGAGGTCGCTTTCGAAGCAAAGCGCTCATATATTGAGTTATGGAGGAGCCCACACCCTGTAGAACACAGAGGTCTTCCACACCCTGTAGAACACAGAGGTCTTTGCGAGAAGCACCCTTCATATATATAGAGGTCGCTTGGGCGGCTTTATATAGAGCCGGCGCCCACACCCTGTAGAACACAGAGGTCGATTCAGCCCGAAGCAAGCGCTCATATATAGAGTTGCGGGGCGCTTTGGCGAGCCCACACCCTGTAGAACACAGAGGTCGCTATATGAAGCAAGCTCATATATAGAGTTAGCCGCTTTGGCCGAGCCCACACCCTGTAGAACACAGAGGTCGCTTTGCGGGCAAAGCGCCGATATATTGTAGAACACAGGGTCGTTTGCGAAGCCGCTCATATATTGACACCCTGTAGAACACAGAGGTCTTTCGGTCTTTCGAGCAAGCTCATATATATAGAGTTAGCGGAGCGCCGCGTGACCACACCCTGTAGAACACAGAGGTCGATTCGCGAAGCAAGCTCATATATTGAGTTGCGGGAGCGCTTAGCCCACACCCTGTAGAACACAGAGGTTTCGCTTAAAGCAAGCTCATATATTGAGTTCGCGGAGCGCTTCGCCGAGCCCACACCCTGTAGAACACAGAGGTCTTTCGCGAAGCAAGCTCATATATAGAGTTGCGGGGCTTTGTCGAGCCCACACCCTGTAGAAACACAGAGGTGGATTCGCTGAAGCAAGCTCCATATAGAGTTGCGGGAGCTTTGACGAGCCCACACCCTGTAGAACACAGAGGTCGCTTCGCGAAGCGCTCATATATTGATCGGACTCTAGACGCTTCGCTAAGGAAGTCCCAGGCCGCCTCGCTGAAGGAGCTAAGCCTCACCAGTTGAGGGGACATCGGAAGGAGACGCCGCCGAGCCCACACCCTGTAGAACACAGAGGTCGTTCGCGAAGCAAAGCCATATATTGATCGGACTCTGACTCGATACTTTCGCGAAGGTCACGAAAGGCTAAGTGGCTCCAAGTCTACTTCACCCAGAAGATCTAGAAGCGTTGCCGAGATCTTAGCGAAGTCCCCGGCGTTAAGCGAGGAAGTCTCCTCCAAGGTCTCCATATACTAGCCACTTTCGTCATATATAGCCACTCGTCCAGTCCGTTCAAGACATCGCATGAGTTGTCTATCAACTGCCGCATCTACAAGCCTACGCTAAGACAATTGCACAGGCTATTTACAACACAGAACGCCGCTGTATTAATTTATCAACAGAAGAAGAGCCTAATTAAGGATCTTCAAGCCGACTACCTACTACGATATACAATTATCTACATGCGTGACCATTACGCAGATCTGCAGACAATTCAATAAATCGAAATTGAACAGCAGCCTTGTTACAACGAAAGTAAAACTCATAATCGTCAATGATTTCCTGAGAAGAAATATGTACAACAAGTTCAGCTTTAACAGTCTACAAGCTGACAACTTGCAAGGTTTATTGAACCTTATATAAGGAAGTCGGAATTATCTTCAAGACTGAAGTTACTTTCATGCGACAGCCTGGAAAATAACATTATTATTATTATAACAGCATTAATATTACAGAGCGAGGTATTTTCGGCGGAGGTTTCGCTAGCGTTTACCATCAACCCTCGAAACCGTGGGTCACCGGGTAACTTCGAAGCTTAGACGGTGAAGACCGACGCATTGTTCTAATATCAACGACGCACTATATTATGCAAGGTTCCTTTTCCTGCTACACCGTGACATCACAGCGCTGGTACTCTACAGAATCAAAATGCCTTGTTCTGATTGGACCGAGATGGACAACGCCTCTACGCAGAGGTCGATCATAGTTCACAGTTCAACACATAGGTTGCAAGTGACAACAATATATCAGTGAACGAGCAAGCCTCCTTACAGTCCAGCTAATCTGAACCTTCATGATTGGGCTGCCTTCTTGAGGTTAGAGACCTCCCCTGTCAAGTGGGGACGAGGCACGGCAGTCAGGCTAATTTTTACATAAAAGTTCAACGATGGCAGTCACCCTGGTTGTGCACCTACATCGCCAAGCACTTCGCAGCTTAATTTACCTCGACGACGGGATACAAATGGATCCAAATCCATAGCGCCTCAGACTACAGTTGAATTCATCATCATGCTACTAACACAACTAGATGGTTAGTAAACCTACTAAGTTGGACCTAGAACCTTCGCAAGATCTGCTAATTTTAGGTTATTGATTTGTAACGGCGCGAGAATCGTATAATTGTACCGAGAACCATGGATCAAGATCCAACAGTCATTCCATTAAGCCTTACTATCTCCGCTACCACTACGACACAGTGACAGAGTCTGTTGGGGTTACGCATGACATGACAGGCAGAGGCAGACTACAATTACATCCGTTACAAGTCATCATCAATTCGCGATCTAGACTTAATCTCTACCGCTCAATTCACCGGTTCAGGTCAAACCTCATCTACTATGGTGGACCAAGAGATCAATGTTTGAATAGGCTGCCTCGCTAATAGAGCTGGAATCGATAACACTTCTCTCGTAAGATGTGTCACTATATAGGTTGGGGAGCCCATCTTGCCAACAGGACGGCATCAGGGCTATGAGCAATCAAGAGAACAAATTACACATAAATCTGCTAGAGATGCAAGCAGTAATAAAGCCTTAATGCACTGGAGCAACTTACTACAGTATACCCAGTGGATGATTCACACAGTCAATTCGACAGTGGCGCTTTATGTGAACAACTAAGCTCAACCAGGTCCCCGAACATATCGACTCTGTTTTCAATTGTTCGATTTAATCGACAATCTCAACATACATAAGAGCATATCACATTCCAGGAGCAAAGAATGTGATAGCAGACGCCTCTCTCGCCACACATACCATCACCACGACAGAATGAATGGTCCATACAGAGATATTCACTCAAATTATCAAGGAAATAGGAACTACACTAATAGACTTATTTACCACTCGATTCAACAAACAACTGACAACATTCGTGATCGCCAGTTCCAGACCCACTAGCATTGGCAACAGACGCTTCATCTAAGCATATCGTGGAAGGACTCAACGGCGACGCTTTTCCGCCACCAGCGTTAATCTCACAAGTTTACTCAAAATCAGTCAAAAGCAGAGCCTCCATCTGAATTTGGTCACGGCCTACTGACCAGCGAGAACGTGGTTTCCAACTCTTATTCAAGAAATCGGACAACCAATACTACATCTTACAGAGTGCTCGAGATCTGTTAATACATCCGCGACACCAAACCAGCGCACGGAAAGCCAGATATATTCCAACTTCACGCTTTGATTAGAAACGCGTGTCTGAATAACAAGTTATTCAGCCAGAGCTGCAAAGCAGTCTAGCTTGCCCTGCGTAACTCAACTGGCAACTTATAATGATGACAAATGGCAATAGCAGTTTGTCAATTATGCTGCAAAGGAAGGATTTACAGCTAGATATGCTACTCATCCTCAAGTGGTGGACTACTTATGTTATCTACGTCAGACTAAGATTTTATAAGGCTCAACTTGTCCACCTATCTTTGCAGCAATAGCTCTATCATAACTGAGAACGGGCCAAGTTAACCTAACCCAGTTACTCGCCTTTAAGCTACTGAGCTTTCTGATTGGAGGATTAAAAGCGAAGTTTCACGCCTCCAACTTGGGATCTGAATATAGTGTTCTCCAACACCTCACAAGTGAGGTTTATGAACACGCTTTGATGATATACTTGGGACCCCATGATACGATGAATCTATCACGATGGCCAGTAAGAGCACTGAAAATATATCTCCACCGAGCCAAACAGGAGGGAAAAATGCAAGAGATTTGTTTCCTCTATCAAAGCTAATGAGACGGAAGTCTCACGTGACTACTATCTCCTTTTGGATCAGAACTGTCATACTAACGTGCCTACAAGACTGCAGAATCGACCCTCCATGAGCTTCTAATCCTCGTGATATTAGAGCTAACATCTACATTGCTCTACACAAATGCTATTGAAATAATGGAGGGTTATTTCTGAGATCCGATATGGTGTTTGCCAACCACTATCTGAGAGATATCACCACCGAGGACGCCTCAGGTATCCACCAATTCGGGTCCCATGGTCCTCGCGACAACAGTTGATAGTTCCTCGAGAAGATAAGTCAATCTTACAGATTTTACTTATCTTATAACAGTACTAAATAGCTACATGCTATATATATTTTGCTTTAAGTTCTTTTATTATCTTAAGCTCAGTACTATGGTTATTATATCATACAATATATAAGCTAACAACTCTACGGAGTTTGTTATTATATATTTAGCTTAAGTTAATCATATCTTAAGCTCAGTACTATGGTTACATTATAAATGTATTAGCTAACAAACTCTACAGAGTTTTGCTATTATATATGTAGCTTAAGTTTATTATATAAAACACAGTACTATACTCATATCATAAAAATATATTTAGCTAACAAACTCTACGTTTTTGCTATTATATATGTAGCTTAAGTTTATTCATATCTTAAGCTCAGTACTATGTTTATATCATATAAGTATATTAGCTAACAAACTCTAAAAGAGTTTTTTGCTATTATATATTTAGCTTAAGTTTCATCATATCTTAAGCATTATGGTTACATTATAACATGTATTAGCTAACAAAGTCTACGGAGTTTTGCTATTATATATGTAGCTTAAGTTTATTCATATCTTAAAGCTCAGTACTATGTTTATATCATATAAAGTATATTAGCTAACAAACTCTAAAGAGTTTTTGCTATTATATAGTTACCTTAAGTTTCATCATATCTTAAGCATTATGGTTACATTGTAAAAATATATTAGCTAACAAACTCTACAAAGTTTTGCTATTATATATATAGCTTCAGTTTATTCATATCTTAAGCTTAGTACTATGTTTTACTTCATAAAAAAAAGTATATCAGCTGATAAACTCTAAGGAGTTTTGCTATTATATATTTAGCTTAAGTTTAATCATATCTTAAGCTCAGTACTATGTTTATATCATAAAAGTATTTTAGCTAACAAACCTCTAAGGAGTTTATGCTATCATATTAACAAGCTTAAGTCTATTAGTCTTAAGCATTGTATTAATATTATATATACTTTTATCATAATAAGTATATTGTAATAACCCATATATGGCAGCTGATAAGTTAGCAACATGAGTCAGGATAAGTTTAAAATTTTGAAAATTTTAACTATAAATTGTATATTTATATACTTATCCTATCTCATGCAATGGATGTCCACCTGGCCTCCCTACTACTCCAATTACGACTTTGCTCCAGGAACAGCATGGGTGCATGGGCGGTTTACAGTTCGTTTCCACTCAGCTGGTCGAAATAAAGACAGAGAGTACAAGATGTGAGATAGGATAAGTGTATATATACAATTTATAGTTAAAATGTACAGTTACCATAAATTTGTATGCTTTGTTATAGACTCACCAACTTCTAGAGTGCTTCAATTGAATCCAACCAAGTAGGTATCATGGTATTGTTACCAAGGAACTCCCAACATCCAGTGTATTGTACTACTGCAGTTATGTTTTCAGAATTGGGTGGTTGGCAAGTACGGCCGTGTTCTCCCTATCCTCCAACTGAAGAAGCCAAGCCAGAGCAAGGTAGGACAACACCTGGTGGTGTCCCACCCTCAGATCTGCTGGGTGTAACTAGTTGGTTCAGCATCAAGGTGGAGTAATCTGACCTACATGTGACCTTCATGATAACTACAGTCCGTTTGAGTCAGAAACGGACCAATGAATTGCAAATTTTATCATTGTACAAAATTGCCACATAAATATAAATAGTACACATGTTTATCATTTACTAATACCCAACAGCTTTCTTATATTGGAAAATTTTCCGGACTCCACCAAAAAAGTTCTTTAAGAAACTATCATTGAAATTTTGACACAGTTCACTATTTTTTACGAGGGAGGAGTGCAGAGAAAGGGACAGCCAGGTGTTAGAGAAGCATGTGCACAAGTGCCCACCAAGTTATTGATTCATTAGCCTGTGCTGTGCCGTCTCCATCCTTTCTCTAACACCTGGCTGTCCCTTTCTCTGCACTCCTCCCTCGTAACAAATAGTGAACTGTGTCAAAATTTCAATGATAGTTTCTTAAAGAACTTTTTTGGTGGAGTCCGGAAAATTTTCCAATATAAGAAAGCTGTTGGGTATTAGTAAATGATAAACATGTGTACTATTTATATTTATGTGGCAATTTTGTACAATGATAAAATTTGCAATTCATTGGTCCGTTTCTGACTCAAACGGACTGTAATACTCAGTCGTTGATTGGCATCTCTTATTTAAGCTGTTAGAATGTCTTTTTGGTAATATCACTAGAAAACACAACATTTGTACATTTGGAACTCTTGTTTTTCATGATGACTATATTGTCAGATGGTCCGCGTTGACCCGTCCAAGCTGTGTCACAACCTGAAGAAGCTGAAGGATGAAGATGTGGCAGAGGAGGGGAGGGTCAATCTGACATGGAGCATCGATAGCCACGACTCAGACATCACACGCAAGAGGAAAGGGGAATTTCTGGTGGAGCACAAGAGGAGCAAGAGAGCTGGGAGCCAGATGGTAGTGGACTTCCTGGCTCAGCAGCAACACAGGTATGATCAAGTCGTGACAGAAGCCAACAACTTCGAGATTCTGCTCCGAGATGGGACAGTGAAGAACAACTCTGTGGGTTCAGGTCAACAAAGCAGAGAAAGAGGCTCCTTGGACAGGATGGTGGCTCCAGAGAAAGGCTCTTCCAATGACGAGTCTGCTGATACTGATGAAATCATAGCTTCTACAAAGTTGAAGGCAGCTATCAAAAAGAAAACAAACATTGTTCGGCAGCCAAGCAAAAGGTTCCAGGAACACAGCCACAGTTCTGACAGTGAGAGTGAAACTGGCGATGTCAAGTCAGCATCATTTGTGTATGTTGCCGGGAAGAAGGGAGCAAAGCCATGCTCTCATGGCAAGCAAGTTGCACCTAAGACACCCATTAAACTAAACATAAAGTCTTCAGCCTCAGTCTCCTCAAGTGGAGAGTCCAGCAGTGGAGAGTCTGACAGTGGAGACGGGAGTGTTGGGGAGAATCAGAGAAGCACGCAAAAGAAGACAGCATCACAAAGGAAGGGAGATGGCAAACCAACTGATTGTTCTAACAGGGAGTCAAGTGATGATGAGTCTGAGTCGGACAGCTCCCCTGATGAGGACTCTTCCATGGAACTTCAGGATGGGCAGAACAGGAGCTTTGGCAGCTTCAGTCATGAAGATGAGAGGGACAAGAAAGACTCGGACAGAAATCAGCCCAGGTGGAAGTCAGGAATTCCAGAGTTCCGAGGGAGAGCTGTGTTGGATCAAGGGAATGACCACAGACAAGGAAGAGACAATGACAGAGTGAAACCAGATACAATGAGCACGGATACTGAAGACAGTGACTCTACTGGGTCAGCAGATACAGATGAGATTCTGTCTAGCTTCAGAAAGTCTTCAAAGGCCCCAGTTACATCTGCTGATCCATGCAAGATGACGTCTGCTCCATCATCTGCTGTCGTCAGCTGTTCCAGGGCAGGAGTGGATGAGTTTTCCTGCGGCTTTTCCATAGATGCTGGCAGGATCGTGTACCCACAACCAGGGCTCAGCAGCGGAGAGGAGAGTGACAGTTCTCAGGAATATCAGCCCTCAAAAAAACAGAAAATGTCCAGGAAAGAGGAATGTGACATTAGTGGAGAGGCTGTCCGATCTTCCAATCAGAAGAAAACCATGGTGCCAGGTGTAGCGAAGATAGTGGGGGGATCTGACAGACAGGTCAGGAAGACGGAGGAGCGTCAGTGTGTTACAGATGCTCGGAAATCTTCTGATAAAAGCAGGACAGAGGTTAACAATAAAGGCAGAGAGATGTTGAGTCCGACGGACAAACACATCGACGACAACCGACGCCGTCTGGAGACAATACGAGAGAGGAAGAGAGAGATACAGAGTCGAAAAGCTGCAATCCAGGATGCTCTGGCTCAAGTGGTATGTCTCTTCCTTCAGTTTAGTGAGAGCTGTAACACACTATTGAGTGTGACATCAACACCTGTAACACACTAATCAATGTAACGGCTACACCTGTAACACTATGATCAATGTAACATCAACACCTGTAACACACTATTCAGTGTGACATCAACACCTGTAACACACTAATCAATGTAACGGCTACACCTGTAACACTATGATCAATGTAACATCAACACCTGTAACACACTATTCAGTGTGACATCAACACCTGTAACACACCAATCAATGTAACGGCTACACCTGTAACACTATGATCAATGTAACATCAACACCTGTAACACACTATTGAGTGTGACATCAACACCTGTAACACACCAATCAATGTAACGGCTACACCTGTAACACTATGATCAATGTAACATCAACACCTGTAACACACTATTCAGTGTGACATCAACACCTGTAACACACCAATCAATGTAACGGCTACACCTGTAACACTATGATCAATGTAACATCAACACCTGTAACAGACTAATTAACGTAACATCAACACCTGTAACAGACTAATTAATGTAACATCAACACCTGTAACAGACTAATTAATGTAACGTCAACACCTGTAACAGACTAATTAATGTAACATCAACACCTGTAACAGACTAATTAATGTAACATCAACACCTAACTATCTCACACCTGTAACAGACTAATTAATGTAACGTCAACACCTGTAACAGACCTAATTAATGTAACATCAACACCTGTAACAGACTAATTAATGTAACATCAACACTAGTAACAGACTAATTAATGTAACGTCAACACCTGTAACAGACTAATTAATGTAACATCAACACCTGTAACAGACTAATTAATGTAACATCTATGCCTGTAACAGACTAATTAATGTAACATCAACACCTGTAACAGACTAATTAATGTATTATCAACACCTGTAACAGACTAATTAATGTACAACATGTAACAGACTAATTAATGTACCATCTATGCCTGTAACAAACTAATTAATGTAACATCAACACCTGTAACAGACTAATGTATTATCAACACCTGTAACAGACTAATTAATGTCACATCTATGCCTGTAACAGACTAATTAATGTAACATAAACACCTGTAACACAATATAAGTTGTTCACTAGTCTCGAGGGGGACATGGGTTGATGTACCCTCGATGTTTATTTGTTCCCTGAGCCATAAGGGCCCCGAGAGACCAGTGAACAACATATTTATCTTACCGAACACCTTAATGTTAATTTTGAATTGTTTGAAGCACGGGTACAGATCTTTTTGTAGCCATCGCTAGATTTTGCTGACAAGAAAAACAGATTTAGAGTTATATCCCTTCCATCGATTTGCATTCGCAAAACATCGGTAATTTCCGTACATCATACGTGATTCAATGTTATTCAAGATAAAGAATTACTACCACGAAGTACCAAATGAGTTGCCATTGACAGCAGGGTACATTGAAATGTTACTTGATTGTAAGCGGGGTACATTGAAAATAATAGAAGAGCGCTCAGCCAATCAGAAAGCGACATTTATGTGTGAGGTAACCCAATGATCAATGTGTCATCAGCCTATGTAATACGATCATCAATGTGCACCCCGCTATAACAGACACATTGTTTCAGGACTCGGGCAGCAGACTCAACAAGAAGATTGTGTTTGACTCTGATGATGACATGGGGGAAACACCAGCAGTGGCGGCGGAGGCAACATCAGTAACAGCTGTTAACACCAGGACCACAAAGATGTCTTCTTCTTCAGATGATGATGATGATGACGAAGATGTTGACAAAAGTGGCAGTGAGGAAGAAGATTCTTCTTGTATTAAGGTCTGTCTGTCTGTCTGTCTGTCTGTCTGTCTGTCTGTCTGTCTGTCTGTCTGTCTGTTTGTCACAGTCAGTAGTGATACTGTTCACTTGTGTCTGTGTTTTGGTATGAGTGTCCGGTCAGACTACTGTCAGGGTGTGTCTGCTGTAAGTCAGGCCATGTTTTACTGAGATGAGGTTTGTCTGCTTTAATGACAAGTGTCTGTTGTCATAAGATGTGTCTGTTGTCATAAGATGTGTCTGCTGTCATAAGATGTGTCTGCTGTCATAAGATGTGTCTGCTGATGAAGGGTCTCTTATGTGATAAAGGGTATCTACTGTAATGACAAGTGTCTGTTGTCATAAGATGTGTCTGCTGATGAAGGGTCTCTTATGTGATAAAGGGTATCTACTGTAATGACAAGTGTCTGTTGTCATAAGATGTGTCTGCTGATGAAGGGTCTCTTATGTAATGACGGGTATCTACTGTAATGACAAGTGTCTGTTGTCATAAGATGTGTCTGCTGATGAAGGGTCTCTTATGTGATAAAGGGTATCTACTGTAATGGCAAGTGTCTGTTGTCATAAGATGTGTCTGCTGATGAAGGGTCTCTTATGTGATAAAGGGTATCTATCTACTGTAATGACAAGTGTCTGTTGTCATAAGATGTGTCTGCTGATGAAGGATCTCTTATGTGATAAAGGGTATCTACTGTAATGACAAGTGTCTGTTGTCATAAGATGTGTCTGCTGATGAAGGGTCTCTTATGTAATGACGGGTATCTACTGTAATGACAAGTGTCTGTTGTCATAAGATGTGTCTGCTGATGAAGGGTCTCTTATGTGATAAAGGGTATCTACTGTAATGACAAGTGTCTGTTGTCATAAGATGTGTCTGCTGATGAAGGGTCTCTTATGTGATAAAGGGTATCTACTGTAATGACAAGTGTCTGTTGTCATAAGATGTGTCTGCTGATGAAGGGCCTCTTATGTGATAAAGGGTATCTACTGTAATGGCAAGTGTCTGTTGTCATAAGATGTGTCTGCTGATGAAGGGTCTCTTATGTGATAAAGGGTATCTACTGTAATGGCAAGTGTCTGTTGTCATAAGATGTGTCTGCTGATGAAGGGTCTCTTATGTAATGACGGGTATCTACTGTAATGAAAAGTGTCTGTTGTCATAAGATGTGTCTGCTGATGAAGGGTCTCTTATGTAATGACGGGTATCTACTGTAATGACAAGTGTCTGTTGTCATAAGATGTGTCTGCTGATGAAGGGTCTCTTATGTAATGAATTGTATCTACTATAATGACAAGTGTCTGTTGTCATAAGATGTGTCTGCTGATGAAGGGTCTCTTATGTAATGACGGGTATCTACTGTAATGAAAAGTGTCTGTTGTCATAAGATGTGTCTGCTGATGAAGGGTCTCTTATGTAATGACGGGTATCTACTGTAATGACAAGTGTCTGTTGTCATAAGATGTGTCTGCTGATGAAGGGTCTCTTATGTGATAAAGGGTATCTACTGTAATGACAAGTGTCTGTTGTCATAAGATGTTTCTGCTGATGAAGGGTCTCTTATGTAATGAATTGTATCTACTGTAATGGAAAGTGTCTGTTGTCATAAGATGTGTCTGCTGATGAAGGGTCTCTTATGTAATGAATTGTATCTACTGTAATGGAAAGTGTCTGTTGTCATAAGATGTGTCTGCTGATGAAGGGTCTCTTATGTAATGAATTGTATCTACTGTAATGGAAAGTGTCTGTTGTCATAAGATGTGTCTGCTGATGAAGGGTCTCTTATGTAATGACGGGTATCTACTGTAATGGCAAGTGTCTGTTGTCATAAGATGTGTCTGCTGATGAAGGGTCTCTTATGTAATGAATTGTATCTACTGTAATGGAAAGTGTCTGTTGTCATAAGATGTGTCTGCTGATGAAGGGTCTCTTATGTAATGAATTGTATCTACTGTAATGGAAAGTGTCTGTTGTCATAAGATGTGTCTGCTGATGAAGGGTCTCTTATGTAATGAATTGTATCTACTGTAATGGAAAGTGTCTGTTGTCATAAGATGTGTCTGCTGATGAAGGGTCTCTTATGTAATGAATTGTATCTACTGTAATGGCAAGTGTCTGTTGTCATAAGATGTGTCTGCTGATGAAGGATCTCTTATGTGATAAAGGGTATCTACTGTAATGGCAAGTGTCTGTTGTCATAAGATGTGTCTGCTGATGAAGGGTCTCTTATGTAATGAAGGGTATCTATTGTAATGGCAAGTGTCATTAATCTTAATGTTTCAGAAGCGAATGTCCCTGTTTGACAGCTCAGGTTCGTCATCAGAGGATGAGGATGAGAAGATGTTCCGTGTTCGGCCCCAGTATGAAGGGGAAAAGGGCAGAAAGGTATGGATCACTCTAGCCAGGCCTGTTTCAACATTGGTCCTCTTGATTCAGACGTACAGGAAAAACACATGGTTCTGTCTGTTTTATATAAAAGTAATATATCACTGTAATGTGGTTAAACAAAAGTATCCATTGTCATATGCTTACAACAACTCTCCATTGTATGTCAGTTGATGGAGTTACAAGCTCGGCTGGGCAGTGATCAACGGTTCCGCTTGGACGAGCGCTTTGTGGAGAGTGACGAGGAACAGGAGAATGGTAGGTGATATGCTGATGTGTATGGGTTGCGATTCCCTGTGCAGAGTTGCATCCCTTGGCTCATCAGAAAACAAGGATTTCTTGTTTGAATCCAAGATTATGCTTCCAGGTTTCTCAGCACCTTACCTAAGCTTGTTGGTTACTCCAGCCCTTCCCCCCACATTAAGCTGACATGTTACCATACCTGAGCTTGTTGGTTACTCCAGCCCTTCCCCCCACATTAAACTGACATGTTTCCTTACCTGAGCTTGTTGGTTACTCCAGCCCTTCCCCCCACATTAAACTGACATGTTACCTTACCTGAGCTTGTTGGTTACTCCAGCCCTTCCCCCCACATTAAACTGACATGTTACCTTGCCTGAGCTTGTTGGTTACTCCAGCCCTTCCCCCCACATTAAGCTGACATGTTACCTTGCCTGAGCATGTTGGTTACTCCAGCCCTTCCCCCCACATTAAACTGACATGTTACCTTACCTGAGCTTGTTGGTTACTCCAGCCCTTTCCCCACATTAAACTGACATGTTACCTTACCTGAGCTTGTTGGTTGCTCCAGCCCTTCCCCACATTAACTGACATGTTACCTTACCTGAGCTTGTTGGTTACTCCAGCCCTTCCCCCACATTGCTGACATGTTACCTTACCTGAGCTTGTTGGTTACTCCAGCCCTTCCCCACATTGCTGACATGTTACCTTACCTGAGCATGTTGGTTTACTCCAGCCCTTCCCCCACATTAAGCTGACATGTTACCTTACCTGAGCATGTTGGTTACTCCAGCCCTTCCCCACATTGCTGACATGTTACCTTACCTGAGCTTGTTGGTTACTCCAGCCCTTCCCCACATTAAACTGACATGTTACCTTACCTGAGCATGTTGGTTACTCCAGCCCTTCCCCACATTAAACTGACATGTTACCTTACCTGCTCCAGCCCTTCCCCCACATTACATGTGACATGTTACCTTACCTGAGCATGTTGGTTGCTCCAGCCCTTGCCCCCACATTAAACTGACATGTTACCTTACCTGAGCTTGTTGGTTACTCCAACCCTTCCCCCCACATTAAGCTGACATGTTACCTTGCCTGAGCATGTTGGTTGCTCCAGCCCTTCCCCCCACATTAAGCTGACATGTTACCTTGCCTGAGCATGTTGGTTGCTCCAGCCCTTCCCCCAACATTATGCTTCCAGGTTTCTCAGCACCTTACCTAAGCTTGTTGGTTACTCCAGCCCTTCCCCCCACATTAAGCTGACATGTTACCTTACCTGAGCTTGTTGGTTACTCCAGCCCTTCCCCCCACATTAAGCTGACATGTTTCCTTACCTGAGCTTGTTGGTTACTCCAGCCCTTCCCCCCACATTAAACTGACATGTTACCTTACCTGAGCATGTTGGTTACTCCAGCCCTTCCCCCCACATTAAACTGACATGTTACCTTACCTGCTCCAGCCCTTCCCCCCACATTAAGCTGACATGTTACCTTACCTGAGCATGTTGGTTGCTCCAGCCCTTCCCCCCACATTAAACTGACATGTTACCTTACCTGAGCTTGTTGGTTGCTCCAGCCCTTCCCCCCACATTAAGCTGACATGTTACCTTGCCTGAGCATGTTGGTTGCTCCAGCCCTTCCCCACATTAAGCTGACATGTTACCTTGCCTGAGCATGTTGGTTGCTCCAGCCCTTCCCCCAACATTATGCTTCCAGGTTTCTCAGCACCTTGCCTGAGCTTGTTGGTTACTCCAGCCCTTCCCCACATTAAGCTGACATGTTACCTTACCTGAGCTTGTTGGTTACTCCAGCCCTTCCCCCCACATTAAGCTGACATGTTTCCTTACCTGAGCTTGTTGGTTACTCCAGCCCTTCCCCCCACATTAAACTGACATGTTACCTTACCTGAGCATGTTGGTTACTCCAGCCCTTCCCCACATTAAGCTGACATGTTACCTTGCCTGAGCTTGTTGGTTGCTCCAGCCCTTCCCCACATTAAGCTGACATGTTACCTTACCTGAGCTTGTTGGTTGCTCCAGCCCTTCCCCACATTAAACTGACATGTTACCTTGCCTGAGCATGTTGGTTACTCCAGCCCTTCCCCCCACATTAAGCTGACATGTTACCTTACCTGAGCTTGTTGGTTACTCCAGCCCTTCCCCCCACATTAAGCTGACATGTTACCTTACCTGAGCTTGTTGGTTACTCCAGCCCTTCCCCCCACATTAAGCTGACATGTTACCTTACCTGAGCTTGTTGGTTACTCCAGCCCTTCAGTACTAAGTACATACAGCGCACTGCCTGTGCAGCTGGGGTACGTGTCATCTCGCCAGCTCAAAACTTTGTTGAGAACCCGTTAACGTACGTGCATCTCGCATTTCGCGCTGTTTCTTTAGTTGCCAATGCGCCCTTGTAACAAACTGGTAAAACTTTTTTATTTTGGTTACACAAATTATGCAATTTCTTCCTAGAGTTGGTCTGTTGTTTTTATTGCAGTCAGCGGTGGTTTCATTCTTTTATGTCTGTTTGTTTTTGTGTTTGATTGCAATTCATCGGTATCATTTTGTCTCAAACGGACTGTACATTGTACCTGTAGGTTCAGTAAGAGTCAGTGTTATATAACAGTGTTTCAACTGTTGCACGTTGTACCTGTAGATTCAGTAAGGGGCAGTGTTATATAACAGTGTTTCAACTGTTGTACATTGTACCTGTAGGTTCAGTAAGGGTCAGTGTAACACAACAGTGTTTCAACTGTTGTACATTGTACCTGTAGATTCAGTAAGGGGCAGTGTTACACAACAGTGTTTCAACTGTTGTACATTGTACCTGTAGATTCAGTAAGGGTCAGTGTTATATAACAGTGTTTCAACTGTTGTACATTGTACCTGTAGATTCAGTAAGGGTCAGTGTTATATAACAGTGTTTCAACTGTTGTGCGTTGTACCTGTAGGTTCAGTAAGGGTCAGTGTTACACCACAGTGTTTCAACTGTTGTACATTGTACCTGTAGATTCAGTAAGGGTCAGTGTTATATAACAGTGTTTCAACTGTTGTACATTGTACCTGTAGATTCAGTAAGGGTCAGTGTTATATAACAGTGTTTCAACTGTTGTACATTGTACCTGTAGATTCAGTAAGGGTCAGTGTTATATAACAGTGTTTCAACTGTTGTACATTGTACCTGTAGATTCAGTAAGGGTCAGTGTTATATAACAGTGTTTCAACTGTTGTACATTGTACCTGTAGATTCAGTAAGGGTCAGTGTTACACCACAGTGTTTCAACTGTTGTACATTGTACCTGTAAATTCAGTAAGGGTCAGTGTTATATAACAGTGTTTCAACTGTTGTGCGTTGTACCTGTAGGTTCAGTAAGGGTCAGTGTTACACCACAGTGTTTCAACTGTTGTACATTGTACCTGTAGATTCAGTAAGGGTCAGTGTTACACCACAGTGTTTCAACTGTTGTACATTGTACCTGTAGATTCAGTAAGGGTCAGTGTTATATAACAGTGTTTCAACTGTTGTACATTGTACCTGTAGATTCAGTAAGGGTCAGTGTTATATAACAGTGTTTCAACTGTTGTACATTGTACCTGTAGATTCAGTAAGGGTCAGTGTTATATAACAGTGTTTCAACTGTTGTACATTGTACCTGTAGATTCAGTAAGGGTCAGTGTTACACCACAGTGTTTCAACTGTTGTACATTGTACCTGTAGATTCAGTAAGGGTCAGTGTTATATAACAGTGTTTCAACTGTTGTACATTGTACCTGTAGATTCAGTAAGGGTCAGTGTGATATAACAGTGTTTCAACTGTTGTACGTTGTACCTGTAGGTTCAGTAAGGGGATGTGTTGTGCTATATTCAGACAGTGTTCAAGAGGTTTCCACTGTGTTCTGATCTAAGGTAAGAATGATTTGGAGAGGGCTACGAGGACCTTATTCCAGAATCATCAGCCGGAGAGAGGAGCTAACTATTGCCTCTCACCTATTTGTGTGTAGTTGTAGGGGATGCTGACGTAGAGCTTGTGTGTAGTTGTAGGGGATGCTGATGTGGATGTTGTGTGTAGTTGTAGGGGATTCTGACGTGGATGTTGTGCGTAGTTGTAGGGGATGCTGATGTGGATGTTGTGTGTAGTTGTAGGGGATACTGACGTGGATGTTGTGCGTAGTTGTAGGGGATACTGACGTGGATGTTGTGCGTAGTTGTAGGGGATGCTGACGTGGATGTTGTGTGTAGTTGGAGGGGATGCTGACATGGATGTTGTGTGTAGTTGTAGGGGATGCTGATGTGGATGTTGTGCATAGTTGTAGGGGATGCTGATGTGGATGTTGTGTGTAGTTGTAGGGGATGCTGATGTGGATGGTGTGTGTAGTTGTAGGGGATTCTGATGTGGATGTTGTGTGTAGTTGTAGGGGATGTTGATGTGGATGTTGTGTGTAGTTGTAGGGGATGCTGACATGGATGTTGTGTGTAGTTGTAGGGGATACTGACGTGGATGTTGTGTGTAGTTGGAGGGGATGCTGACATGGATGTTGTGTGTAGTTGTAGGGGATACTGACATGGATGTTGTGTGTAGTTGTAGGGGATGCTGATGTGGATGTTGTGTGTAGTTGTAGGGGATGCTGATGTGGATGTTGTGTGTAGTTGTAGGGGATACTGACGTGGATGTTGTGTGTAGTTGTAGGGGATGCTGATGTGGATGTTGTGTGTAGTTGTAGGGGATACTGACGTGGAAGTTGTGTGTAGTTGGAGGGGATGCTGATGTGGATGTTGTGTGTAGTTGTAGGGGATGCTGATGTGGATGTTGTGTGTAGTTGTAGGGGATGCTGATGTGGATGTTGTGTGTAGTTGTAGGGGATGCTGACGTGGATGGTGTGTGTAGTTGTAGGGGATGCTGATGTGGATGTTGTGTGTAGTTGTAGGGGATGCTGACGTGGATGTTGTGTGTAGTTGGAGGGGATGCTGACATGGATGTTGTGTGTAGTTGTAGGGGATGCTGACGTGGATGTTGTGTGTAGTTGGAGGGGATGCTGACATGGATGTTGTGTGTAGTTGTAGGGGATGTTGATGTGGATGTTGTGTGTAGTTGTAGGGGATGCTGACGTAGGGGATGCCGATGCTGAGAGTGAGCGTGCGAGGGCTCTGCGTATCCTGGAGGAGGTGGTTGGGAGGCATCCCATGGCGAGGCTGCAGAAGCAGGAGACTCAGAGGAAGAAGTTCAAGTGAGTTCCCTCCAGACAACTGCACTGACTCTTTGGCCGTCACTGGGGAGAAAACAGCAACATCAAGTTGTTTGATTTTTTAGAGGTAGACAACTACAGTGATGCTCTGTGGTTGGATCAAAGTTGTTTGACCAGATACCTCTATAATTTACTTCTTTGATGGGCATTTTAGAAGTTGAGTTGATGAAGAATGATGACAATGTTTATGGATATACAACAGAATATATCACAGAATAAAGAAGTTGTATATCCATAAAAATTGTCAACATTCTTCTCTATAATTTAGTATAAACTTCGTCATGTTTTGGGATACGTCAAGATGCAGTTTTTACTAAATCCTTTCAAATTCACCACTATAATGATTACTTGGTACATAACGATGTGTTGTATTTTCGAACACTTCTTCATTTGCTCACCATTTATCTCACCATTCACCTCACCATTTAGCTAACTATTTATCTCACCATTCAACTCATTATTCATCTCACCATTCACTTTACCATTGATCTCACCATCCAGCTCACCATTCTTACTACCATGCAACTCACCATTCACCCTTCCATGCAACTCACCATTCTGCTCACCATTAACTCACCATTCACCTCACTATTCACCCTACCATGCAACTTGCCATTAACCTCGCCATTCACCCTACCATGCAACTTGCCATTAACCTCGCCATTCACCTCACCATTTACCCTACCATGCAACTCACCATTCAACTCACCATTCACCCTACCATGCACCTCACTGTTCAGTTCACCATTCAACTCACCATTCAGCTTGTACGAGATGCTACAGTTTGTGTGTTATTGAGCTGGTGTAACATTTCAACATGTGTTGAGACTGGTGCCACTTGGTCTGGGCGACACCTGTGTTATGCTACCACTTATCTGACATGTGTTGAGACTGGTGCCACTTGGTCTGGGCGACACCTGTGTTATGCTACCACTTATCTGACATGTGTTGAGACTGGTGACACTTGGTCTGGGCGACACCTGTGTTATGCTACCACTTATCTGACATGTGTTGAGACTGGTGACACTTGACTGGTGACACTTGGTGGGCGAGGCGGGCCTGTGTTATGCTACCACTTATCTGACATGTGTTGAGACTGGTGACACTTGGTCTGGGCGACACCTGTGTTATGCTACCACTTATCTGACATGTGTTGAGACTGGTGCCACTTGGTCTGGGAGACACCTGTGTTATGCTGCCACTTATCTGACATGTGTTGAGACTGGTGACACTTGGTCTGGGCGACACCTGTGTTATGCTGCCACTTATCTGACTTGTGTTGAGACTGGTGCCACTTGGTCTGGGCGACACCTGTGTTATGCTGCCACTTATCTGACAAGTGTTGAGACTGGTGACACTTGGTCTGGGCGACACCTGTGTTATGCTGCCACTTATCTGACATGTGTTGAGACTGGTGCCACTTGGTCTGGGCGACACCTGTGTTATGCTGCCACTTATCTGACAAGTGTTGAGACTGGTGCCACTTGGTCTGGGCGACACCTGTGTTATGCTGCCACTTATCTGACATGTGTTATTATCTCCTGCAACATGTCTTTGCGGGAGTTATTAAAATGGACTCTGTCACATAGATTGGTCTAGTGGTGTACTGGTGCCATTTGGTAGTTCGGGAATTCTGAATAAAATATTTTTGGCGTTTCCATTGCAACAAGTTTGACTTAGACTCAAATTGGTGGTAGTGCTCTTTTCCGGAGCAGAACTCTAAAACTGTTAAATGTTTCTTCACCAAACTTGGCACATACATACATCTGGTGGTGTACTGGTGCCTTTTGGTAGTTTGGGAATTCTGAATAAAATATTTTTGGCGTTTCCATGGCAACAAGTTTGACTTAGACTCAAATTGGTGGTAGTGCTGTTTTCCGGAGCAGAACTCTAAAACCGTTAAATGTTTCTTCACCAAACTTGGCACATACATACATCTGGTGGTGTACTGGTGCCTTTTGGTAGTTTGGGAATTCTGAATAAAATATTTTTGGCGTTTCCATGGCAACAAGTTTGACTTAGACTGAAACTGGTGGTAGTGCTCCTTTCTGGAGCAGAACTTTTAAAACCTTTCAATATTCTCCTTCCACTTTTCTATATACACACCAAAACATTTGACATAATCAATACTCGTAGACATAATCATGAAGAGTATTTTGCCATTGCGGGGGATATTGATGACTTTGTCTCCTTGTTATTAATTGTATGTCTTTCACTAGGGACATGAGCACCCTCCACTTCGACCCAGCATGCGAGCAACATAGACAGCTGGAGGTACAGGCATCTCCAAAGGAAAAGATTAAAAAAAAGAAAGGTTCAAAAATGAAGTAAGCTCAATATACATTTTCTGCTAATGCCATCCGTTTGTATGCTTCTTGCAGCTCTACCTATTTAGTTGTTTCTACATGCTGCCAAGTATTAGCGCTGTGTACTGTTTGAGGTCATCTGCTTGTGTGTAGGATGACCTGTTTGAGGTCATCTGCTTGTGTGTCTGATGACCTGTGTTTGAGGTCAGCAGCTTGTGTGTATGATGACCTATGTTTGAGGTCATCTGCTTGTGTGTCTGATGACCTGTGTTTGAAGTCAGCTGCTTGTGTGTATGATGACCTGTTTGAAGTCAGCTGCTTGTGTGTATGATGACCTGTGTTTGAGGTCATCTGCTTGTGTGTATGATGACCTATGTTTGAGGTCATCTGCTTGTGTGTCTGATGACCTGTGTTTGAAGTCAGCTGCTTGTGTGTATGATGACCTGTGTTTGAGGTCAGCAGCTTGTGTGTATGATAACCTGTGTTTGAGGTCAGTAGCTTATGTTTATGATGACCTGTGTTTGAGGTCAGCAGCTTGTGTGTCTGATGACCTGTGTTTGAAGTCAGCTGCTTGTGTGTATGATGACCTGTGTTTGAGGTCAGCAGCTTGTGTGTATGATGACCTGTGTTTGAGGTCAGTAGCTTATGTTTATGATGACCTGTGTTTGAGGTCAGCAGCTTGTGTGTATGATGACCTGTGTTTGAGGTCAGCAGCTTGTGTGTATGATGACCTGTGTTTGAGGTCAGCTGCTTGTGTGTGTGATGACCTGTGTTTGAGGTCAGCAGCTTGTGTGTATGATGACCTGTGTTTGAGGTCAGCTGCTTGTGTGTGTCATGACCTGTGTTTGAGGTCAGCGGCTTGTTTGTATGATGACCTGTGTTTGAGGTCAGCAGCTTGTGTGTATGATACCTGTGTTTGTTATTCTTATTACAGGGAAGCCGAGACCCCAGAGATCGTTGTCCCAGAGGTCAGCAAAGAGCGTTTTTTCGAGGTGAGCTCTGCAATCCAGAACGTGTTCCACAAGACGCATGATGACAAGGCAGCAGCATCCGGCTTTTCTCTCATGGCAGCCTTTGGAGGACACAGTCAGACCGATGCCCATTGTGAATCTAAGGGTGAGTTGTTGGGCATGGCGGTCTTTTGGGGACAGAAGCAGACAGACGGTTCAGAAGCAAATCTCCAGTTTGAAAGAGGAAGATGTGGACGTCTTGTAAAATTCCAGTCTCAGTAGGTGATGTTTGTACAGACCTAGAGGAGGATCTAGAGGTTGGTCAGGGCTGCTGACTGGATGCTTGTACAGACCTAGAGGCTGATCTAGAGGTTGGTCAGTGGTGCTGAATTATTGACCAGTTGCCAGATAAGAGCCTTTGGTAGATGTTGATGTTGATGTACAACTGATTTGTTTTATTTCCTAGAATACAGCACACATGAGGTTACAGCATCTTCTGGTGCCATGAATCCTTGGCAGTCCCGGTTTTCTGTTGATGTCACTGATGACTCGACTGATGATGAGGAGGAGCAACAGAGTTCGGTGCAGTCACCTCACACACACAGCGGGGTGTCTCTTGACACCAAGTGGACATTTTTCTTCTCTGAAGATGACAACCGTCTGCAAGGTAGGCAGATTCATCATGAGTCACTTTGTGCACAGAATTGATTCTTCAAGTTAATATTGTTTATTTTTTTAATGCACTTTTGCTGAAGGCGTTACCTGAAATGTTGCACAGGGGCAGTGAAAACTTCATGTTTGTTTATTCCAGAGGGCATGGAGTTTTTCAAGAGACCACAGGACTTCGACTCTGTGCTAGAGAAGTGGAGGGAACAAAGACCGAAGCTGATTGAGGTAATGAATGTAGCGGGAATTGAAGGTGTTGCATGGGAGGGGGAGGGGACAGTAATGCAGAGATGCATGGGAGGGTATCCTCCCATTCAAAATGTACATACATGTTTTATGAGAAAATTATTACCTGTAAAGAAAAGTACCCCATTGTATATGCTTTTTGGTGCATTAGGTAGAGCCTCACTATTACTGTTGATGTGAAAACTTGTATGTTAACTTTTGGGTCGAAAAGTATTCACAGCTGTAGCTGGATTTCATGTACAGAGAATATTTTTAATAACATTGGTTTAAGTTATGTATGGCTTTCACAGTCTCCTATTTCATCTTCCTGGATCAATAATACAGCTCATTCAATATTAAATGCCAATGCTATTCAAATCTGGAGATCAGAGGGGGAAAATTCACAAAAAGTTCGGACATGTTCTCTCTTGAAATCTCAATTTGAATTTGAAAAATATCTAACGTCCCTAACCTTTAATAAAGTTATCCCCTTACTCCAGTTTTGTACTGCCTGTCACCGTGTACCACCATGATAAAGGAAGATGGAATAGGATACCAAAAGATGAAAAAAATGTAAATCATGTTGTATAAATGATGTGGGTGATAAGTTTCATTATATTTTTAAATGTACATATTTTAGAAAAGAAAGATCAGTGTGTATACCAGCTTCCTTTATAAAACCCCCAAATATATTAAAATTTAAATCACCCTGTACATGTTAGATATCTGTTATGGAAAATCTCAGGTCAGTAAATTCTGTAAATATATCATGCAGATTGTAAAATCTTTTGGCCAACTGCTATTCTGCCATAATATTATCATTTGTTGTCATTTGGACCTCATATGCCAATGATATCGGCCTGAGTGAAATAAAGTTCTGTTATGAGAAATATCCAATTGGGACATTTCCATTTATATATGATATTGCCCTAATTAATCCCTAGTCAAGTGTCTGACAGCTGGGATGTCTAACTAATGGGAGTAAATCCATGGGAAGGGGAAGTAGTTGGGGAGGGAAGGTGTCAGTAATGGAGAGGTTCAGGGGAGGTGGGGGTGCAAGTTGGAGGTGGGGACAGTACTGGAGGGGGGAAGTAGTAGGGAAGGTGTCAGTAATGGAGAGGTTCAGGGGAGGTGGGGTGCAAGTTGGAGGTGGGGACAGTACTGGAGGGGAAGTAGTAGGGGAGGGAAGGTGTCAGTAATGGAGAGGTTCAGTGGGGGTGTGCAAGTTGGACTGACTGACTGACTGAGTTTGGTGTCAGTAATGGAGGGTTCAGGGGAGAAAGGGTGCTTTTAGGGATATTCCAGCAACATCAATTGGCGGGGACAGGGGAAATGGGCTTCACACATTGTGCCCATGGGGGGGGGTACAAGTTGGAGGTACTTAGGGCGTGATGAGCCAACGCTGGAGACCATTAGGCTACCCCACCGCCCCGGTGCAAGTTGGAGGTGGTGACTACTGGAGGGGAAGTAGTGGGGGAGGGAAGCTGTCAGTAATGGAGAGGTTCAGGGGAGGTGGGGGTGCAAGTTGGAGGTGGTGACAGTACTGGAGGAGGAAGTAGTAGGGGAGGGAAGGTGTCAGTAATGGAGAGGTTCAGGGAAGATGAGGGGGTGCAAGTTGGGGTTGGGGGCAGTACTGGAGGGATGACCATATTTGTTGACATGAATACATTGTGTTTATCTTCTGTTAGTCATACCGGGAAAAGTGGAGGAAAGCTGTTAAAAACAAGAGGAAACTGCAAAAAACATCGGTGTGGCACAGTGGCGGCCACCAGACTCCAAGCAGGAGGGTCAAGGTCAACAGAAGATGATTCTGATCAGCTCGAGATATTGTTCAATAAATGTTCCACATTTGATCTTTGTTGTTTCTGAGTCAACGCTATTGAGTCAACTGGAGTCGGGGATGTGTTCATGCTATGGATGATATGATGATACAGGGGATCTGTGACCAGGGGTGAGTTGAGTGTGGTGAGACACAGTCCACAAGAGGGAACTGACAGTCTGTATATGTAGACCCTGTCTGGGAGATCTGTGACCAGGGGGTGAGTTGAGTGTGGTGAGACACAGTCCACAAGAGGGAACTGACAGTCTGTATATGTAAACCCTGTCTGGGAGATCTGTGACTAGGGGGTGAGTTGAGTGTGGTGAGATGCAGTCCACAAGAGGGAACTGACAGTCTGTACATGTAAACCCTGTCTGGGAGATCTGTGACCAGGGGGTGAGTTGAGTGTGGTGAGATGCAGTCCACAAGAGGGAACTGACAGTCTGTATATGTAGAACCCTGTCTGGGAGATCTGTGACCAGGGGGTGAGTTGAGTGTGGTGAGATGCAGTCCACAAGAGGGAACTGACAGTCTGTATATGTAAACCCTGTCTGGGAGATCTGTGACCAGGGGGTGAGTTGAGTGTGGTGAGACACAGTCCACAAGAGGGAACTGACAGTCTGTATATGTAGACCCTGTCTGGGAGATCTGTGACCAGGGGGTGAGTTGAGTGTGGAGAGACACAGTCCACAAGAGGAACTGACAGTCTGTACCAGGGGTTGATTGAGTAAACCCTGTCTGGGGAGATCTGTGACCAGGGGATGAGTTGAGTTGAGTGTGAGAGACACAGTCCACAAGAGGGAACTGACAGTCTGTACATGTAAACCCTGTCTGGGAGATCTGTGACTAGGGGGTGAGTTGAGTGTGGTGAGATGCAGTCCACAAGAGGGAACTGACAGTCTGTATATGTAAACCCTGTTTGGGAGATCTGTGACCAGGGGGTGAGTTGAGTGTGGTGAGATGCAGTCCACAAGAGGGAACTGACAGTCTGTATATGTAGACCCTGTCTGGGAGTAACACTACCGAAAGTCAATCTGAAACAAGTTCTGATCATGCATGTCACACGGCTGATGGCACTCTGAAACCTGTTCTCGTCAGGGTCATGCCAGTCACTGGACGTATACATGCACCACACTTATAGTATATATGCTCTTGAAAGGTAGGTGACCAACGTCATGGGCCACCAACTTACGTCATGGGCCTCCAACCAACGTCATGGGCCTCCAACCTACGTCATGGGCCACCAACCAAGGCGCTGGCCTTATATCGCCACATTGAGAGACATACGCTGTGCCTCGCCGTGTGAATGACTGTTTGACAAATCGTGGAGTTATTGCGCACTTCTGACCCTTAGACCTCATCTTTGAAGTTTACCATCTGACCCCTATCATCGTTCAAGATTGTTGGTGGTCATAACATCACTTCCGGTTGTATTGTGTTTCCAATTCGTTCAAGTTTATCATACAACTAGGACTAGTATTCATTTGAAAATACAACAGTACAACACTTATACATTAACACTGAACATTGGTGCCATACAGCCTTGGCTTTATAACCATATAGGATGCACAATTTCTACAATAAAGCATTCCAGTTAATGTCAATTTCTTAGTCTTCATACTAAGTATGCTCTGCAAGAAAAAAGAGAAGAAACGTCAAATTTATTATAGATGTGTATTTCAAGTATCAAATGTATATTCAACAGACAGTGATAGATTGTTGCAAACTATCATTCATCATTTCCACTGACCTAGGTTCCGTATGATGACACATAAAACAGTAGATCTTCAAGGTGAAGTTCATCTATGCTCAATATCTTGTACGACCATCATGCGAGTCCAAGGGTGAGAAGAACAGTCGTCCGTGGGAGCAGACCGATGTGAATGCTCCCTTTCTGTCTGTAGTGTTGGTGCCATCTGTTGGAGTGTCTGTAGTGTTGGTGCCAACTGTTGGAGTGTTTGTAGTGTTGGTGCCAACTGTTGGAGTGTTTGTAGTGTTGGTGCCAACTGTTGGAGTGTCTGTAGTGTTGGTGCCAACTGTTGGAGTGTCTGTAGTGTTGGTGCCAACTGTTGGAGCGTCTGTAGTGGCTGCTGACGTGCTCACTGTCGTTTATCCAGTGCATCCAAAAATGTTGGAGAGAGTTTACAGCTGCGGACCTGGAAGACCATGACGTCACCCTGGAAGACCATGACGTCACCCTGGAAGACCATGACGTCACCCTGGAAGACCATGACGTCACCCTGGAAGACCATGACGTCACCCTGGTGTTGCGATTCTTCAACCAATTCTCTTTTCAGTCTTATCGTATCAGTTCGGACGTTGTCAATCAAATAACGTTCGCTTGTTGCGAAGTGGGAAGGACATAGGCCTGGATCTCACCCGTCCCGTCGAAGCATGATCTTAACTTTTGTTAACCGGACAAGCGATGTTTGTACCTACTCGTCATGCTCGTTTGTTGTGGCGCCTCTCACGTGGCTGTTTTCTTGCGAGTTTACAATCTTTTCACCACATTTATGCTCTACCTCATTCTTTCAAAACAAATCAATCCAAACCCATGTCGAAATGACCAATTTTCTGATAGATATCAACAGCGCCTTGTCAGATATTTGTACTTCTTTTGCGTTTTAGTTTTTGCAGAGAATATATAGAACAGAGAACTGACGAAAGAACACCAAACAACATTCCAGTAGAAAAGACTGAACCATGAACCGACACAAACGGAAACCATGATGACGTCATGACCAACTGAACGTTACTTTTGTCTGATATGTATGGGCAGAAGTCAAACCGCAAGGAATGTTCGATACCCCTGACTAAACACTGATGTTCAAAATGAATAACCTTCAAACATATGACTTTCATGTTATTACTGGCAACTTGTTTAGTTGCCATATCTGATGCCTTCTTACTTCAACCATTGCAGTGGACCTGTGTCGGTTTGTAACACATTCGCCCTTCAGTTTTCTTCTATGTGATTTTATCAGAATGTTGAAACAAGACATTTGTCAGATGACAGGCGTGGCGGTCACAGATAACACCAGCCTTGCGAGAAGTGCCGTCTGCTCAGGTTTGATAAGATTTTATTTTCGCAAAACACAATGGCGTCTGACGGTGTTGGAAAATCTGTGATCTTTCTGACCATCTTTGTTGCCCTCAACACCACCGCCCTCGTTGTGGTGTCTTTCCTGCAGTTCAGCAACATGAAGAGCCTCCAGCTTCAAGATTCAGATCTTCAAAGTGACCTTGAATTACTACTGCACGACGGTGAGCATGGTGTTAGTCTCGTGTTTGAATTGTCGTCTGGTGTGAAGCGCGATGTGGCTGAGTCACTCGCCCGCAGCAGGCGATCAGGTTTGGAGGATGTGTTCCTAAGTCTCCTACAGACGGAAGAACGTGTCATTGAGCGACACTGCAAGAACACCACCAAGGTCTGCAAGCAGGGTGAGAAAGGGGAGACAGGCGCACCTGGTCAACAGGGAACCAAAGGGGACAAGGGCGTGGCCGGACTGAAGGGGGACGAAGGGTACCAAGGTCCAGAGGGAGACAAGGGCACCTCGGGTCCACCGGGGGAAGTGGGCGCTGTGGGGGCAACAGGTCTCATAGGAACCCCCGGGGCTGTCGGACTGCCAGGGGAGAAGGGCGACCAAGGCTTGCAGGGAGTGCGGGGGCGGAAGGGAGAGGCTGGAAGCCCGGGGGTGAAAGGAGACGCTGGGGAGAGAGGTGCACAAGGAATCACAGGTCAGGCTGGCTCTAAAGGCGAGGCGGGATCGACAGGAGTTGATGGGGACCCTGGCGTGGCTGGTGTCAAAGGTGAAACCGGAGACGTGGGCGTGAGGGGCGGTGACGCCGACAAGCTGAAGGGAGGGTGCGAGTGCCTCAAGAAGCCGTCAATATTTGGACCAGACAGTGAGAAGCTGGTTGTACCGTACGGTGGCGCGGCGACACTCAACTGCAGCTCAAGCGGCGTCCCTCCGCCAGACATCACGTGGGTGGGGAATGGAAACAAAGCTATATCTTACACTATACCCGTTGTGACGTCATTCGACTATCATACGTACCAGTGTGTTGCCTCGAATGTGTTTGGTACGGACACCAAAAATATCACGATTAGCCGCACATGATGAAAACTTGTGAACCTGATGATCGGAATAAAGCGTCTGCTCGATGCGTTTGGAGTGGTATGTTTCACCCGTCCTGTACATCCGTGTCAGGGTAGACTGCTAGGGCACCTGTCGTCTCTGTACAATCATATTCCGTATATTACTGAGGATGCAGGCATCATGGATATATTGATTACTGCTATTAACCTCTTCAGTTCAACTATATATGTTGCTAGTGTCCGTTTGGTTTGGTTGTTGTTTAACGCCACATTAAAAAATATTCCAGCTATATGGCGGCGTTCTGTAAATAATTGAGTCTGGACCAGACAATCCAGTGAGCCTGACAACCCGATCCTGTCGATCTGCCTCTTAGATACGATGATATGTTGCTGAAGTCATGAATTCTAACCACGGATCCTGTCACGGGTTGCTGGACAAGCATAGGTTGAACGGGTGAATTCTAACCTATCTTCACGTCTACATTTATCACACAGACAGAACGGGTGACACCTACAGTCTACATTTACACACAGACAGACAGACAGACAGACAGACAGACAGAGAGACAGACAGACACTCAAACAGACAGACAGAGAGACAGACAGACAGAAGCACACACATGAACATCCTGTAGATGCCCGTAATAAAACAGCCAAGGTAGACAGCATATCAGCCCTCTTAGACCACTAACAAAAGTTCCCCAGCCATCAAATCCAGTTTGATAAAATCGAAATCATATATCAGGCCCCAGTCACTGTCGTCACCTGTTAATTTCAGTGTACTTGCGTGAATACATCAGGTTCCAGTCACTATCGTCACCTGTTAATTACAGTGTACTTGCGTGAATACATCAGGCCCCAGTCACTGTCGTCACCTGCTAACTTCAGTGTACTTGCGTGAATACATCAGGCCCCAGTCACTGTCGTCACTTGTCAACCTCAATGTTACTCTACGAGGAGCCGTGAGAGGACTCTCCACAGAAAGAGTCAGATCCTGGTCTACCTCAATGTTACTCTCCCAGGAGCCGTGTGAGGACTCTCCACAGAAAGAGTCAGATCCTGGTCTACCTCAATGTTACTCTCCCAGGAGCCGTGTGAGGACTCTCCACAGAAAGAGTCAGATCCTGGTCTACCTCAATGTTACTCTCCCAGGAGCCGTGTGAGGACTCTCCACAGAAAAGGTCAGATCCTGGTCAACCTCAATGTTACTCTACCAGGAGCCGTGTGAGGACTCTCCACAGAAAGAGTCAGATCCTGGTCTACCTCAATGTTACTCTACCAGGAGCCGTGTGAGGACTCTCCACAGAAAGAGTCAGATCCTGGTCTACCTCAATGTTACTCTCCCAGGAGCCGTGTGAGGACTCTCCACAGAAAGAGTCAGATCCTGGTCTACCTCAATGTTACTCTACCAGGAGCCGTGTGAGGACTCTCCACAGAAAGAGTCAGATCCTGGTTTTCCTCAATGTTACTCTACCAGGAGCCGTGTGAGGACTCTCCACAGAAAGAGTCAGATCCTGGTTTTCCTCAATGTTACTCTACCAGGAGCCGTGTGAGGACTCTCCACAGAAAGAGTCAGATCCTGGTCAACCTCAATGTTACTCTACCAGGAGCCGTGTGAGGACTCTCCACAGAAAGAGTCAGATCCTGGTCAACCTCAATGTTACTCTACCAGGAGCCGTGTGAGGACTCTCCACAGAAAAGAGTCAGATCCTGGTCTACCTCAATGTTACTCTACCAGGAGCCGTGTGAGGACTCTCCACAGAAAGAGTCAGATCCTGGTCTACCTCAATGTTACTCTCCCAGGAGCCGTGTGAGGACTCTCCACAGAAAGAGTCAGATCCTGGTCTACCTCAATGTTACTCTACCAGGAGCCGTGTGAGGACTCTCCACAGAAAGAGTCAGATCCTGGTCTTCCTCAATGTTACTCTACCAGGAGCCGTGTGAGGACTCTCCACAGAAAGAGTCAGATCCTGGTCAACCTCAATGTTACTCTACCAGGAGCCGTGTGAGGACTCTCCACAGAAAGAGTCAGATCCTGGTCAACCTCAATGTTACTCTACCAGGAGCCGTGTGAGGACTCTCCACAGAAAGAGTCAGATCCTGGTCTACCTCAATGTTACTCTACCAGGAGCCGTGTGAGGACTCTCCACAGAAAGAGTCAGATCCTGGTCAACCTCAATGTTACTCTACCAGGAGCCGTGTGAGGACTCTCCACAGAAAGAGTCAGATCCTGGTCTACCTCAATGTTACTCTACCAGGAGCCGTGTGAGGACTCTCCACAGAAAGAGTCAGATCCTGGTCTACCTCAATGTTACTCTCCCAGGAGCCGTGTGAGGACTCTCCACAGAAAGAGTCAGATCCTGGTCTTCCTCAATGTTACTCTCCCAGGAGCCGTGTGAGGACTCTCCACAGAAAGAGTCAAATCCTGGTCTACCTCACTGTTGCTCAGTCAGACCATTGTCTATACTGTGTATTGTTCACCATATTGTCAAAGGAACTGAAGGTTGCTATTCGTCAAACACCATCATTCAACCTGTTCTGAAGACATTTCGGTTTTTCATTTGAAACTGTTCGCACATACGCTGGTCGTATCGCCTGAAACAATTAGTGGTATTTAGAGGTTACATTTAAAATTTCATTTTCATCTTTCAGAGAATCACGTTTAGTTCCTTGTAAATAATCCAGTTTTTCCCTTTAGATAGTTATCCCGTATAGTTCTTTGTTTAGGCCAAAGGTAAATTTCAAAATGTTCGTTGATTAGGTTTTCAGTTACACTGCATAGCTCTGCACATTGTATATTTCCTCTGCGCAACACAACCTTTTAGCGTACGGTGGGTGATGTTTTACGATTAACGGGTTTTGGCTTAGCGATGTTTCATTACACATCCTCCTGGAGTCTGTACATAGAGAGGAGGACGTAACTGTCATGATGAAAAACACGGTATATTGAAACGAAGTCAACAATTGGAAATAAGGTCACCCAGCTGGTACTTATATATTATGAACATTGTGTTAAATCGAATTTCAAGGATCATTTTGTGTATCATTGTTTTGGAAGAATGAAATAAAACGCATTGTTGAGAAGTATCTGTGTGTATCTGTGTCAATGACGCTGTGTATCAGACTGAAGTAAATCAACATGATTAATACAATGTGGTTGTTCTTGATATACGCAAACATAGCTGTATGTTCTGAGGGACATTTCCTACGATGACAAATGACAGCACTTGTCACTGTTGTTAAGATGATGTCGATGTAGCATTGCATGGAGTCAGACGGTCCGTGGTTCGAATTCTAGCACGGGACTCGAAAATTGTATGGCCTCTACATCGAGATGCTTCCATATCTCAATACTGACCGGCACTTGGATGGGCCGGGTGGTCATGCGTTGTTAGGTCGTGATATTGATCACCTGATTTTCTGCTCCAGATTCCGTTGTTCCCAGCTCGCCACCCCAGGAGTACAGTCCGCCGGGGCAACGTCCACCTACATCGTGTGTCAGTGGCGGAGTCTACCGACAGAACATGACATGTTGGCCCCTTTCGCGGTGAATTATTTATGTAATCACTATTGTGCCTGTTGCACAGATCACATACTACTATGACAGTTCCCCGACATGGGGCAGGGTGGGAAAACACGCTATTGGAGAATGAGGTCGCCGTCGTACACGTATGAGAGGTGACGTTGCTGTCTGCACGGACATTCTGTAGGATTCGGCTGTATTAGATGTGGCGTTGTGCTGCTGATAAACTCGAGTTCGTTACACCACTCCACCAGACGGTACGACCTACAGAACGTAACATACCGAGGTTCGTTCTCCCCATCGGAGGTACACACGCTGTCTTCCATCAGCTCTGTACAGACAGAACAAGCATTCATCGGTGAAGACGAGCCTCTGCCAGTCACGTCCCTACCCGCGACGTACACACTGGGCCCATTTAATTATCTGACGCCCATGTTACTAAAAACTAAAGACGTGCGAGGTGGCAGTGTAAGCCGGGGTTTTCTGACTGATCCTCACAGTTTGTTGGAAATGGCGAGACATGTGTATGCTACTGTTTGTGTTGTCTGTTTTGGCCATTATTCCAAGTCTGACTGTCACCATTGCTACGAACTGAGCATATACATATAGTACACATTTTGTTTCATGTTTATATACATCTTTAGAAATCATAATTTACATTGAAATTAGATCAGAAAGATTAATCCTATGGCATAGAAACTCCGTCTCTTTGTCGCCAATCAAACACAAATATTTCAAGCCAACATTTACTGTGTAATGGTCATGCAGAATGATCAGTCGCTTATATTCTCGGGTTAAACGACTGACCTTTATAACATTACTGGGAGCAATAAACTAATATGTAACAGATATTTATTAAAACATAATGGATAAATATCACACACACACACACACACACACACACACACACACACACACACACACACACACACACACACACACACACACACAACACACAGAAACTAAAGTCTTGTAGGTGCTTATATTACATAAAAAATGAAACGTCAGCGTCTTATTCCAGTTCTGTCACACGGTTTTAGTCAACTTGAAAACATCAGTGAAAGTTATCAATTATGGAAACCAAAGCTAGACCAATGTTTCAATTTTGTTTCAAGAGAATCATGATGTAATTATTCTGGAGGTTACTCTTTCTGCTCGACACTACACAATACCAGACAACCTGTCCACCCACATTCCCGTGTACAGTCTTCCCAACACCCCGTCTGGCCTATCAGTCTTCACTGAGGCGTGTACCCTGATCCACCCGACCCTCCATGCCTACACCTTCCCATCACCCCGTCTGGTCTATCAGTCTTCACTGAGGCATGTACCCTGATCCACCCACCCATCCATGCCTACACCTTCCCATACAAACATCAAACAGCGTCCCTCTTCCCATTGCGATCAACACAGTCACGAACTGCACAGCTGGAACCCCTATAAAGGTGAACACACAATAAAACAATGCCGTACTCCCCGGATCAGTCGCCCAGTCAAGCCCGTGGTATACAGCGTGGGCTCCGAGGCCGTTAGTTCCGCCTGCAGTCTGATATACCGCGGAGAAGATGGAGTATGTGGCCGCCACGGTGAGGGGTTGGAAGAAATGGAGGAACCTCACCGGAGACGCTGCGATACAGAGGTTGAGGATGACGTATGTCGTGTTGCCAGTATGGGTGATGAAATCAACATTAGACACGGCCTTGCCCGCTGGAACCGATGTATTTATTTTGTCATTAAACATCTTGTCACATTTTATAAAGTATCAACATTACTGTCAATTGATCTACTGTCACTTAAATGATTAAAATCATTATGTTCAATGATTTGGAATGTGTTCAACTTTAGCTTTAATTGGCATTTGGTTTTATGAGTGAGTGAGTGGGCTTAGTTTTACACCGCACTCAGCAATATCCCAGCAATATGGCGGCGGTCTGTAAATAATCGAGTCTGGACCACACAATCCAGTGATCAACAGCATGAACATCGATCTGCGCAATTGGGAACCGATGACATGTATCAACCAAGTCAGCGATCCTGACCACCCGATCCCGTTAGTGGATTCTTACGACAAGCATGGGTTACTGAAGATCAATATTGTAACCCGGACCTTCACGGGTCCTTGGTTTTATGAATAACTGCACAATTACATGAAGTGAGTGAGTATGGGTTTACGCAGCCTTTAGCAATATTCCAGCAATATCACGCCAGGCAACACCAGAAATGGGCTTCACACATTGTACCCATTTGGGGAATCGAACCCGGGTTTTCAGCGTGACGAGCGGAGCAATTACATGTGTAATCTTGTTGGTCTGTCAAGTCAATCTCTTATTACATGAAAGTTCACGGTACCTACAGCTATTTGCCAACCGCTGTAGGATGCTGTCAAAGATCGGCAATGTCTACTTACATCTGTATGTCAGCCGCTGTAGGATGCTGTCAAAGATCAGCGATGTGTACTTACATCTGTATGTCAACCGCTGTAGGATACTGTCAAAGATCAGCGATGTGTACTTACATCTGTATGTCAACCGCTGTAGGATACTGTCAAAGATCGGCGATGTGTACTTACATCTGTATGTCAACCGCTGTAGGATACTGTCAAAGATCGGCAATGTCTACTTACATCTGTATGTCAACCGCTGTAGGATGCTGTCAAAGATCAGCGATGTGTACTTACATCTGTATGTCAACCGCTGTAGGATACTGTTAAAGATCAGCGATGTGTACTTACATCTGTATGTCAACCGCTGTAGGATGCTGTCAAAGATCAGCGATGTGTACTTACATCTGTATGTCAACCGCTGTAGGATACTGTTAAAGATCAGCGATGTGTACTTACATCTGTATGTCAACCGCTGTAGGATACTGTCAAAGATCGGCAATGTCTACTTACATCTGTATGGCAACCGCTGTAGGATGCTGTCAAAGATCAGCGATGTGTACTTACAGCTGTATGACGTACTTACAGCTGTATGTCAACCGCTGTAGGATGCTGTCAAAGATCGGCAATGTCTACTTACAGCTGTATGTCAACTGCTGTAGGATACTGTTAAAGATCAGCGATGTGTACTTACAGCTGTATGTCAACTGCTGTAGGATACTGTCAAAGATCAGTGATGTGTACTTACAGCTGTATGTCAACCGCTGTAGGATACTGTCAAAGATCAGCGATGTGTACTTACATCTGTATGTCAACCGCTGTAGGATGCTGTCAAAGATCAGCGATGTGTACTTACAGCTGTATGACGTACTTACATCTGTATGTCAACCGCTGTAGGATACTGTCAAAGATCAGCGATGTGTACTTACATCTGTATGGCAACCGCTGTAGGATGCTGTCAAAGATCAGCGATGTGTACTTACAGCTGTATGACGTACTTACATTTGTATGTCAACCGCTGTAGGATGCTGTCAAAGATCAGCGATGTGTACTTACAGCTGTATGACGTACTTACATTTGTATGTCAACCGCTGTAGGATGCTGTCAAAGATCAGCGACTTACGTGAATGTACGAACCCCCAGAAGAGTATGGTCACCAGTATGCTGCCGGTATTGCTCAGGTTGTGCAAAACCCAGGTCACTTTCAGAAACAGCGGCATGCGTTGGATTCCACCTGTTGAAATAAAGATGTCATGATGGGAATAGTTCTCTCAGGAGTAAATATTCAGGTCATGTTTCATGAAGAAATGAGTTGGCATAAACACAAATGCATTTTTTCTAATATTTCACACTATTTGATGACATTACATTGATATCTGATGTACGGAGCCTGAAGGGGATTCCTGACATTCGAATGTAAACATGTTACAGACGTCAAACATGTCACTGATCTGTTACAGACATGAAACGTGTCACTGATCTGTTACAGACATGAAACGTGTCACTGATCTGTTACAGACGTCAAACATGTCACTGATCTGTTACAGACATGAAACGTGTCACTGATCTGTTACAGACGTCAAACATGTCACTGATCTGTTACAGACATGAAACGAGTCGCTGATCTGTTACAGACGTCAAACATGTCACTGATCTGTTACAGACGTCACTGAAACATGTCACTGATCTGTTACAGACATGAAACGTGTCGCTGATCTGTTACAGACGTCAAACATGTCACTGATCTGTTACAGACATGAAACGTGTCACTGATCTGTTACAGGCGAGAAACACGTTCCTCAATACATTCAAGCGGTATTCGAGGCTATCAAGTTCCTCAATACGTCCAAGCAGTATTCATCTTTAGTAGGACTGATAATATGCAGGACAACCTGCCCAAAGCTTGGGGTCAGGCTTCATCTGGCCAGCCTGGCTACATGGGCTTGGGGTTTCCACTGCACCTCTTACAGGGCAGGCACCACCGAGCACGTACATTCTAACAATTTTAACGGAAGCGTGTTACAAGTCGTACGAACCACTGATGATGTCTTTCCGCACAAGGTGGCAGTAACCCAGTGCCATGAAGTCAGCGAGAGTGGACAAAGTCAGTTGGAAGAACATCCAGTTTGTGAGATAGATGAACCACTTGACGCTGTCCTTCTCGGTCCTTGTCCATGAGTATCTGTCACAGAACCCCGTTACGATGATCACGGCGACGTGGTAGACGGCAGCAACAGCGCGCCAACAGAGATACACCTTCGGCCAGCCCCACTGAGGACATATGCATGTGTACATAGCACAGTAATATGATCACCGGTACTCTCAGCATGGCTGGCAGATTACATATTATGAGACGTGGTGTGTTAGTGATTCAAACATTTATTTGTTATATCCAAAGCATACTTTTTCAAACCAGCGTCAATTAGTGATCAACCAGGTATTCGTGAACATGTGGAGGTGTCCGACCCACTGGTGGCACCCGCACACAAACACATTCAAAAGTATGTCAAGTCAGATGTTCAGTTACTGGAACACAGGAACACATACTCGGCACCGCAGTATACTGTGCCTGTCACTGATGTTTCTGTTTGAAATGCCCTTCACACATCTATCGTGATATGTTATCGATCCTTCACATACTGTAACCCTGATCACATCACGTGGGGACGGGAATAGTATGTCATTCGAAGTTCCTTTGATATGCGTATTGATCAGTAACACCCACCTCAAATTGGGTGAAAAGATGTGGTTGTGGATGTTCCAGCCCAAAGCTGGAACACCGGAACTGTTCCCGCCAGTGTTCCATGGAACACTTGGTCCTGGAATCTGATCTGTCACTGAAACATGAAACTTTCTGAAATTCTTCAAAGGCATTTCGAAGTTGATGTAGTAATACAAGACAAATCTTATGGATAACAACTTGTTGACTTATTTCTCACAACGTTTCTGCCCCTTCGTCTGGTGCCCCTTCGTCAGGTGGATAATGATCATAGTGATATAATATATATACTGTATTGTTCGCTATGATCATTATCCACCTGACGAATGGGCAAGAACTAGCCCAGAAACGTTGTGAGAAATAAGTCAACAAGTTGTTATCCATAAGATTTGTCTTGTATATATTATGAAACTTTCTGTTTAATTTGGATTCATAGCCAATATCACACAACTTTCTCATCCAAGACAAAACTAACATAAGAAGAAGCTTCAACCACCCTCTGCAACAGGCTTACAAGCAACCACTCTTTTGATCTAATCAGGTTTACCACTCCAGAGAAATTTACATAGTACTTTGTTTAATTCACGCGGGAAGTTTCCTCTGTGTGTGTGTGTGTGTGTGTGTGTGTGTGTGTGTGTGTGTGTGTGTGTGTGTGTGTTTGGGAGAGTAAGAAAGAGATAATTCAATTTTGAAATTTGTAATGATTTTAAAATAGCAATTCTACCAAGTGGTGTAATTATTCTTTTCATCCACCTGTTGATAATTAACTGAATCTCAAACAATTTATTTTCGAAATTCTTTCTAGCCATAACATTTAAATCTGTTGAAAATATTACACATAGGAGCTTAAAATATTCTGGATTCCATTGTATGTTTAAACAAGGTAAGTATCTGATTGAACATGTTTGTGCTATGCTTCCTCCCCCAAAATGGAAAATTTAGCTGTATTTGGTAAATTATTCCCAGGTACACTCTCCCAAGATATTAAGAATGAATATTGGCTTCATTGTATTTCTGCTTTCGACAAGTTTGCTCATAAGTTTCAACCATGTTCATTTGATGAATTCATCACAGAACCAATCTTTTATAACAAGCCCTTAAAGATTGGTAAAGAAGTTATTTTTTGTTCTGCTTGGTTTGGGAGAGGTGTTAGTCAGATTCGTGATTTTATCAATTTAGACGGAACATATCGAGGAATTTCAGAACACTTTTGAACTTGACATAAATTTTCTCCACTGGAATGGTCTTATCATGGCTATTAAAAGTTATCAAACTTAGTTAAAGATAATGAGACCTACATCTTTTGAGCAGTTAGATGGTAATACAGTTAATCGAAAACTGATGTCTGTTAAGAAGGGAGCCAAGTGTTATTACCATGTTTTGATTGCATCTGATGTTAACTTAAAATTCATGAATGAGTGGGAGGATTGTATGCTTGCTGAACTTGAATGGGAAAAACATTTTTATAACCTTTAAAGACTACAAGGGATACTAAACTTCAATGGTTTCAGTTCAGGATTATACATGGCATTCTCTCAACTAATTCATTTCTATTTAAGATCAAATTAGCTGAAAGCAACTTATGTACCGTTTGTCAATGTGAGGTTGAAACAATCCCCCACTTGTTTTGGTATTGTGAACAGGTGCAAGCTTTTTGGAAATTCTTTCTAGAATTATTGAATGATAAATGTCAACATGTTCACAACATGAAGTTGGACCTGCAACTTATTGTGTTTGGAATGAGAACAAATGTATATACTTATGATGTGTATGATTTAATATTGTTGTTAGCTAAATTCTTCATATATAAATGTAAGGTATTAAAAACTACTCTTAGTTTTAAACATGTAAGACATTATTTACAAGATAGATATTTTACTGAAAAGAATATATCCTTCAGTAAAAGTGAACAAGATAGGTTTTATAATAAGTGGATGTTATATCATGATTTTGCAAATTTTAGATGACTTTCTGAATTCTTTCTTCTTGTACCCTAATGAAAACAAATATAGGCTTAATGAACTTGAACTTAAACTTACTGTAAATATTTGGAACTTGTAAGTGTGATCGGTGAGTGAATGTGTGGTGGTGTCTGGTGTTGTTGTTTTGTGCTTTGTTAGAAAAAAATCCTGTATCCTGTTATCAATGAAGTTTTCTTGCAAAGGACCTTAGAGCACCCTGGCTCTAGTGCCTCTTCTGTAACAGGGGAAGCAGGAAATTATGAAAAAACAACTTTCTGTTTCAATTAATTTCATGGGAATGGTCACAGTATAAATATGATATACAACATACGGGGCATCAAGAAGAAAACGAAAAGACATTATCTTTGACTGGCATTTACAGGTAATGCACATCAAGAGGAGTAGTGTTTGTGTGTGTGCGTGCGTGCGTGCGTGTGTGTGTGAGGGGTAGGGTGGTGATGTTGTATCAACGTTTTGGTCTTCATATTACAGACGCTAACGTCCATATGCTTCTCCTTGAAACAAAATGGATGACGTTAGGACACAAAAACAATGTTATCGTCACATAAGCATATCGACACAGGACACACACACGCGGAGAGATGCACGTGCTGCGATCAAAGGTGGGTATCACGTTCAATGACGTTAAGTACCGCCAGCGGTCAGGTAGACCACTCCTAGGGAGTTTAGTCAGGGGATATTGACAGTGTGCTCCGTTGTTGATACTAACGTGTTTTCGTCAGGGTTGTATGACGGAATTTGGAGAATGAGAGCTTTTGTTAACGTCACACGACCAAAGTTATCAACACTACAAACTGAGCCAATGTTCCGTCATGTTTGCTTCTATGGATAAACTACAGTGTTTCGTGTTTTGCCTTTACTTTTGTCACAAGTATTCCCTGAAGGAGAGTTTATCCAGATAGTGAGTTAAGCTGAGGTTTGCATACGTTCCTCTAATATGGTTAATGGTACCACATTGGTACTTTGATATATATGTGGTGTTGCAATATTTCGTTCCATAAGTATACCTTCATGTCGCTTAGCTCCAAATAACTCAAACTTAAGTGTTGCCCTGTACTTACTTGGTGAAGATATTGTTCACGTGAACATAAATATTGCCTGTACTAACTTGGTGAAGATATTATACACATGAACGTAAGTATTGCCTGTACTGACTTGGTGAAGATATTATACACATGAACTTAAGCATTGCCTGTACTGACTTGGTGAAGATATTATACACGTGAACATAAGTATTGCCTGTAATGACTTGGTGAAGATATTATACACGTGAACATAAGTATTGCCAGTACTGACTTGGTGAAGATATTATACACGTGAACATAAGTACTGCCTGTACTGACTTGGTGAAGTTATTATACACGTGAACTTAAGTGTTGCCTGTACTGACTTGGTGAAGATATTATACACGTGAACATAAGTATTGCCTTCACTGACTTGGTGAAGTTATTATACACGTGAACTTAAGTGTTGCCTGTACTGACTTGGTGAAGATATTGTACACGTGAACTTAAGTGTTGCCTGTACTAACTATTATATGGTCTCTGGTTTTAGCGATACGTTAAGGATTCGCAAACTATAAGTAACTTTGAAAACTTACTTTGATTGTAAATACTTACCCATTCTAGCACCGGAAAACATGTCACTGTTACAACACTCTCGAGCCATGTCATGCAATTTCTATACTTCGAATTTTATACAATAGATATCATACTATGTACTTGAACTTTATTTCCCAAAAAATTAACTTGAATAAGGTTTGTTTCACGATTTGATTTCCTTAGTTCCTGGGGGCGGGCGATGGCCTGGTTGTCTTGGCGTTTTTATCGTTCCTCGCACCGAGGGCCTGAGTTCGGCACCCCGCGTGGGTACGGCGTGTGGGGCCTATTTCTGGTGTCTCCCCGCTCGTGTTGCGGCGTCGAGCTAAAACTCGCTCAATCACTCACCTACTCACTTCTTAGTTCTTGTCTTAACCATGGGGCTAGTCTGTCTCACAGTCCCTGAACAACATTATTTTCCCTACTGCCTAGCCCTCTCTGCAGTGCTAAAGCCCTAAATAAAGCAAGTCTAGATTTCCTCAGGTTCAGGATCTCTGGTCTCCCTAGGGCTCCTTTTCAATATAAATGGGCTTGTTTGTTACTATCCAAATTATATATATTCAGAGACTAAACCTTAGTCTACCATGGGGGAGGCAGAGCCTTCTGCTCCTTCAGAGATATTGCTCGTGGCAACCACGGAATTTTCTTTGTTCTTATTTGCTATATTACCTTATGTTATAATAAAACAAAAAAACACTTTCACTTGGATACAGAAACAGCATTAATGACCAGAGAAGTTACGATGGTCTAAGATTCTTTAACTATGGATGCAAATAACAAAATTAGCATAGTTTCAGGTAATTGTAGAGGCCTAGCCGATAAAGGTAAACGTAAAGAAGTCATGAATTTATATAGAAAAAAGAAATTCTCAATCATATGTTTACAAGACATACATATTTCTGCAGAGTATGAGAACACAATGAGAAATGAATGGGGTTTAGAATGTGTCATTTCTCCATATAAGTCAAACTCAAGAGGTGTTGCCATTCTTCTAAATAATAATTTTGAATATGAAATACACAATGTTTCTAAAGACGAAAATGGAAATTACATAATTTTAGATATAACTGTTGACGACATAAGATTAACCCTTACAAATGTATATGGACCGAACTCTGATAGTCCTTCCTTTTATATATCTTTATTTGATAAGATTGTAAATATGGGTAACGATTCAATTGCAGTATGTGGAGATTGGAATCTTGTCTTAGACCCTTCCATAGACCTTGAAAACTATAAACACATTAATAACCCACAGGCTCGTAAGACTGTCTTGGACCAAATAGGCAATTTAAACTTAATAGACGCATGGAGAGAGTTAAACCCTAAAACAAAAAAGTATACATGGTGGAAAAAGAATCCTCGCCAACAAGCCAGATTAGATTTCTTCTTGGTAACTGAGGACCTCTTTAACATAAATAGTAATATATCCATCATACCTGGTTATAAAAGTGACCATTCTGCTGTAACGTTATCTTTATCAACACAAAAAAATAAGGAAAAGGGACGCGGCTATTGGAAGTTTAACACAT